TAAGTATAACATCAGCAAGGGATCTAGTGCCACTATACTATCGCAAATGGCGCAAGTTGAAGGCTCAATCGTCAAATGGGACGAAGCAGAAATTATTAAATCGGTACATTCACCGACATTGGCGAATTGCGCAGAAAAAATTGAAATATATAAAAGCAAATTGCATGATTCATGCATCAATTCTAGAGATTCTGAAGGGTTGCCTTCGGCCTGGAAATACTTTATCAAACGATTGGACAAATCTTAATTTATTGCGGCGATTTTAATATTTTTTCGCATAAAGTGCATTTCACTGAATTTCTATATAACGTTTTAATATTTAGTTAACCTATGCTTATTTTTTCGTATACATTTTTTGTTATTTGTAACAATAATTTTTATTTATTTTATTAGTCTGTATACATTTATATATATATTTCGCTCGTTATTTTATTTTATTTGTATTTAAATTTTTGTTCTATTTTATTTATATTCGAATGTTCTTAGCCTGACGATGGCCAACTGATTTGGCTGAAAACGTTAGCTTTACATTAAATTTTTTTTTTCTCAGCAAATTAAGGTGTTGTGTTTTTTTGATTTATATACTATTGCTGAGTGTGTGTACATCAATTACAGGTTAGTAAGTTCATCAAACATGAGTTTTAGTTAAATATTTGTGGTGGACCCCTGGAGTTACAAGAAGTGGTTCACTGCAATTGGTAGGAGTACTGTTCCACTTATTTACTATTCTGTGGTAAAGGTCTGAATTTTCTGTCACTGTTCAAATTGACCCCTAGTTTTGGAGAGAGTTTTTTCAGGCTTCAAAAATTTTACCTTAAGCTAGGTTTGCAATGTCATGTGAACCACTATGAAGAAACACTAATTGAAGCCAAATGTTCATATTGTAGTATGTTAGACAAACCAAGTTAGAATGTGATTGGTCAAAAAGGTATCAAATACTAATTATGGAAATTTGATTGGTTGAACTGACTGAAGTTTGTCAAAAGTTGATGTTTTGACTTCTAATAAACGGGTTAAGCAGTTGCCAAAAAGGGATGAACTGGCAGTTTATACCTACATTGTAGTGATTTGTATGTCAATGTAAACTTAGCTTTATATGTTGGCATACACCATAAGTATTTAGAACATTGCTTTAAATGAAACTTAAGACATTATTTTACTCAGATTTTATATAATAAATTCTTTTATTCAATAAAATTAACTACAATAATTTAATGATTTAATAATCAATCAAATACTTTCACTCATTTATACTTTTAAAACATTATAATATAATGTAATGTACAGTGAACAAATATGTATTTAAATTACAATTATTAAAACTATAAATTGCAACATATATAAATGAATTATGGACACTTAAAGCATAATTTTTATTTAATTCAAATTCTTTTGGTCACAGAAACATTTTATTGTTATTTCATTCTTCATGTATAAATATAGTATTTAGTATCTTTTTGCTATATTTAAAATTTTGGGTTTTTAGGAATTTATTTGATGATATATAATGAAAAATAAAGTTGTTTGTAAAAAGTTATTAAAAGTATTCTATTTTACTGAACTTACTGAAATTGCATTAATTTATTTATATGCTTATAAATCTTTTTGTATTGTATTAGATGAGATGAATTATTGGAATTGTTTTTAATTTTAAATATTTTATTTTGAAAAGAATGATGTAATGATTTATTCAGATTTATGATGATCATATTAGCTGTTATATTTTAATGATATATAGTCTCAATTTTTAATGTTTAATGATTTTATTGGTAAAATTCTTATTTTATAAATTATAAGGATTGTCTTTATTAAAAGAAAATCTCTGTTGTATAAAATTTGTATAAAGGAATTCATTTAAAAATAAGTTTTTGTTTATAAATTGTCAAATGTTTTAGTAATATTGAAAGAATTAAATTTTGATATTATATTGATCCTTTTTTTATTATTATTTTGTTAAGACACAATAAGTTTTCTGAAATGTTTTAGACAAATTTGTCTTATAAGAAAGTTCAGTACATATGTTTTGTTAATTTTTTTTTATTGTAAAACTATATTCTATCTAATTATTTATTAGTCTGTCTTTAAGGGAAATGATGCGTCGTGCGACTTCTGCTGCTCGTAGTCTTGCTGGTCTTGACAATAGAGATCCTGATGTTGCAATACCAACATTGAGTTGGCCCCCAGAACCAGCAGAAACAGGTAAATATTATATAATATAAAATGCTATAATATTGTCATAACAAATTTACATATTTTCATTTAATGAAATTATGTGAATTTGAAATATAGAAATAACTTTGTGACTTCTTTTTATACAATATGGAAAAACAACTGTTTTTTTTTATAATTTGTATATTATAATAATTGAATGTTTTTTGGTCTATGCAGTTTTGTAATATTTCAAATTTATTTATGGCCAAACAAATTGAAGAATAAATTAAATTTATTACATTTTAATTTATAAATATGAAATTTGTTTTATCTATTATGATACATTATGAAAGTGGACCTATAGTCTTATTGTTTGATTATTGAACAAATTTCTCTTTAAAATTTGGAAAGTTTCATTTTAAAGTACAACTCTAATTACTGTAAAAAAAATCATCTATCATACCATATAGCTTATTTTGTTTTAAAAAATACTCTTTTTAATTAAGATGATAAAACAATTTCTTCTTAACATTTCCTTAACTGTAAATTTATTATTGTTATGCCTTCATTGATATTTTCATTGTATGTATAATGTTAGTGCACTTTGTATATTAATTGATAATTAAGGTTACTGACTTAATGTGAAAATTATTGCTTTTTCAATTGTTCTTTTATCTCTCTTCACTTTTCTTTGATTAATCTTGATTTTTAGGTTGTTGAAAGTAGTGATGGGACGATACCAAATTTCTCCTGATTCTGATACCATTTTGATTATTTTGAATACTTTCTAAAGTTTATTTTAGTTTAGAAAAATTAATGATTTACATTATGAGCATGGTACATTTTTTAATTAATAAACATCAGTTTGAAGAATGGAAAATGATTAGGAAATCCAGAATCAATCTTTCAAAAGAAATGTGAAAATTTACTATTTATAAGTGGATACACATGCTTTTATTGTGTACTACAAAATAAATTTGTAATCTTGTTTCAGATAAAGTTAATATTGCAACACTACTCACAAAGAAATTACAACTAATTAATTTACTTTTACTTGAAGAACTGTTCTATCATGTCATGTTGGGTCACCCTCTTTGGAAACTGCTTCTTTGGACAATGCAATGACCACAGGGAGGGGAAGATAAATGAGAAGATGCTTTTTTTTTTAATGTTATGCTGTTTGCAATGTTTTGTAAATGATTTAACTCCATTACATTTAATACCAGCAGGTTTGGCAAATGAGCTGAACAAATATCATAGTCACGAGTTAACCAATTTTTGAATTCATTCACTCAAGCCATGAATATCTAGACCAACTCATCTTGAAAAATCAATTTTTAAAACTCAAAATGGCATTAAACATTGCAAAAAAGTATTTTTACTCAGAATTGTGTGAATCTTATTTGAAAATTTAAAGTATTACAGCACATCTGTGTATCATCATAAAATTTTTTATAATTATAATGAGAGTCATTTTATTTAAGTAAACATATTAAATATTAAAAAATATTTCATGTAATATTGTTTTAATTAAAATATAATTTTGTTTCCATTTTATACTGTTTTGTTGACTGCTAGCCTGTATTTGAAACTTGATAGCCTGATTCAGTGTTAACTCTGTTCTAATTAAAATTTTTAAAAATATGCATCAGGCTGGTGGTAAGTTCCACAATTCGCCAAAGTTTGTTCTAAGAACATTTTTGAATATGCAAGTTTTGGCTAATTATAGAACTTACCACCAGCCTGACGCATACTTACAAAGTTAAACCATGTATTGTTACAAAAAAGACTCAAAATCCAAGTAACAAATTAATAAAATTGCAGATAATAAGTAATGAATATGAAACTAACATGCAATTATCAACAAATATTTTTATACATCAGTTGGCATTTCACTAAACAGGAAGTGATGTCACATTTTTAGAATTGCTTATAACTAAAAACAAATGCTTCAAATCAAAAACGGCCCTAGCATTTTCGACTTAAAATTAACCCTTTTACAACTTCTCAAATTTTTTACACATTTTTGTCACACCTGTATATACAGAATACAGATTGGATGACATCCCCCAAATTTACCCTATCTCCCCTAAAATGGGGACACTTAGAGTATGGTTACTAGATAATCTAGTAACCATGCTTAGTCTTCTGTGACAGACATCACCTTGTGTATGGGAGGCATTAAGTACTCTCTACTTTGTCGACATGAAATTTTCCAATAAACTAATATTTAATTGTTAATATCATAATTTAAAAAATTTTTAATAATCAAGTGAAACAAATAATTAATTTTCTTATGAAATATAGAAAAAATGGAAATGATGATGAGGGTTTCTTGATTCCAATTCCTGGGAAATGTCCAATTTTCTCAATTCCCAATTCTGATTAATCGTCCCATCACTAGTTGATAGTTTGGAAATACTTTGATAATAACCAATAATAAAAACAAGAGCTTAAACTAAATAAGAGATCAAACAATAGACATATTCACAATCTATAACTTTTCTCACAATACTGGTTTTCATGGCTTTTAAGTCATGAAAGTGTTGCTTTTCATAAACCTGTTTATTAATACAAATTTTTTATGCTAATACAAAAATTAGTTTATTTAGTAATTGCTATAAATATGAAATAATAATATTTTTAAAAGTATATATGTTAAAATCAGTTTTTCACAATTATATTTCAGCATTAACATAATCTCAACTTATTATAAAGTCAGTAGAGTATTTATGAACTTAATCATTTTCAAAGTTAATGACTTTTATTGGAAGCACAAATTACAGTTAGAATGCCAACAGAAAGTTTTAAATAATTTATATTCTATTATTTATTCTTTCTATTAGAGAATCATTTTGAAGACATTTAAATTCTAACAAACAATTTCTAAATACATTATAATTAATATCATAAACTATTCTTTGTATATATCATAGTTCTTACATAAATTCTGTAAAATGTTTTTATTTTAAGGTTCGTTATCATCTACTGTTGAACCATCAGAACGACGTAACACAGCTTTAAATGTTTTAGGTTTGCTTTGTGAATCGCCTGTTTTGAAACCTTATTTAAGAGAACTTCTTACAGCTAAGTAAGATTTTTTTTTTTACCCATATAAACAGATAAGAACTTGCATAAATTCATAATTTTTGTGTTTTAGAGATGCTGAAGGATGTACACCATTTATGGGAGCTATAGCTGGTCGTGCGTATCCTGCTGCATTATATTTAATGGATACGTCACAACGGATAGCTCGTGAGACTATGAGTGATGTGGAAGGACAACAAAAGATTCTTCAAAGTATGTTGTATCCAAGAGGCTCACATCCAGATGATTCACCACTTCATGTTCTTTGTTGTAATGACACTTGTAGTTTTACATGGACTGGAGCTGAACATATTAACCAGGTATGTAATTGACTTAAAATAAAATTTAAATTTTGCATTTATATTTACTTATTTAATCTATTTCAGGATATTTTTGAATGTCGGACTTGTGGATTAACTGGATCGTTGTGCTGTTGTACAGAATGTGCTAGAGTTTGTCACAAGGGACACGACTGTAAACTTAAGAAGACATCTCCAACTGCATATTGTGATTGTTGGGAAAAATGTAAATGTAAAGCATTAATCTCTGGTCATCAAGGTGCTCGATATCATTTATTAAATCGCTTAATTAGTGAAACTGATTTGGTTACTTTACCAAATAGCAGGTAATTATAATAAATATTTTCAATTATGTATAAGAATTTTACATATTGATTTTAAATATCAGTCAGATTAAATATTGTCAGTAATTCTACATTTTCTAAGATAATAAAATAATTATTTTTCAGATTAATTTATGATTAATTTCTTCAATGTTACTATAGTTGATATTACTAATAAATAAATACCAAAAAAAAAAGTCTGAACTTTTATAGGCCGTTAATTTTTAGTTGATAAATGTTTTTGAAGCAGCTTGAGGTGTATCTTCATGTACAGATGCTGGAAAATGAACAATAAATTCAGAATTTTAAAATTATCATGGCAGAGAATGTGTCATTATTTGGTGTTTTTGCAAATGTGTGGTATTTATTTATTTTTTATTTATATAAAATTAAACTAAGAATATTTAGGACAAAATCTAAATATTTTACTAAAATTTTAACTTTAAAAATAGAATGTTAAATTACAAATTATTTTTGCTTTGGTAATTTAATCATTTTGTTTTCATTAACTACCATGACCTTTATTACTTTCTAAGAGATACCATGCAAATACTGTTTAAGACGAAGCATGAACTGTACTGTACTGCAAACTGTCTTTTTTGTTGATTATAATGTCTTTAGAACATTCTATAACCAGGGTGGCCAAGCTCCTTGATAGTCCGAGCCATTTTTCAAAATTTGAAATTTTTCGCGAGCCGCAATTAAATACGTATTAAAAAAATATGCAAAAAATTACAGATTACAAATTATATCCGTAGCAAGAGTGATACAAATTGTTTCCTCCAGAGCACAATGTCAACTGTCCGTTGCAATGACAGTTTACAAATTCTAAATCAGTCTGGAGTCAGTCGATAACGGACGATTACGCCACTGTTTATAACGGCTACGGATAACGGATAACAACAAAAGCCACTGTTTATGTTCGTTCGCGCAGTTTTCAATGAGTCATATCATTCTTAATTGGATGGAAATGAAATTTGTTACAACGTTGCACTTAGTCTTTCATATTTGTTGTTAGTAATTTAAAAGACATTTTTGAAACACATACGGAATGATAATAATTTTTTAAAATATAATAACACAGAAATGAAAAGGGAACTCGGGTACATTTATCGAGAGCCACAAATAATCCTTCAAAGAGCCGCATGTGGCTCGTGAGCCACAGGTTGGCCACCCCTGTTCTATAATTTGATTTTTTTTGAGGATCTTTAGGTTCTTTTACTATTAATGAAGTCTCTCTCTTGTGTGCATTAATACTTTTTGTCTAATATTAATGTTATTAAATTCTATCATTGTTTCAATATTACTTTATATTTTCTTACATTGTTTATATCTTAAATGATTTTCAGTAATGCTTGCGTAAAAACATTTACGATCCTTTGTCTGTAAAATACTGTGAGCTTGTAAACTCCAGCCTTTTTTATCTTATATATTTTTCTTTTAATTTTAATGAATTAGTAATACTCATGTCTTTCTTATCATTTAAATGCTATTCAGTTATGTTTCTAATATCTTTGTATATTGTTCTGTTAGAAAGATTTAGAATTTTAAATTGTCAACTTTTAGATTTTGACTTTTGAAATAGTAACAATGCTAAATTCATATTGTATCTAATCATAGAATTGATACTTTTTTAAATTAGCTTTTTTAGAGTATTTTTGTTAAACATTGTTTTTTGTATTATGTAATGAATATTAAAGATGATTTGTTTTTCTTATTTATTTACTTAGTATTGTTACTTTATATTTAAAGACAAAAATGTTAAGTTTATTGGATCAAAAGTAATTTATTTAGTGAACATTTACAAGCTGTTTATCTCAAACATGTTTATCTTGAAATTGATTTTTTCTCGTGAATTTTCAGCCTAAATTCTTTACATTTTAACATTAATCTCAAATAATTTTTCTACAATTTCTACATTTCAAATTATGGACTGAAATGTCAATTATAAATTCTATATTTTGATATTATAAATTGTACTAGAGAAACATCTGTTACAATACAGTACATAGTTGCAATTAATGCTACTTTTCTCTGATTGACTGAGTTTGACTTGTGTCTTATTTGTTGAAGAAAGGTCAGGCATTAGAAACTATTGACAAATTGTTTGTTAAGGTATGTCAAAAATCTTTTATTAAATTAATACCTAATATAGGTATGTACAGTACTTGCTATTGTATTAATAAAATACTGTACCTCTAATCAAACCAATTACTGTTTAGGAACCTCTATATCTCAACCTGTTTATCTCAAATTTCTTTTTTCATTTATGTGAGATTTGAGATAGACAGACCAAGTGTATCTCAAAATTGTTATAGAAATAAATTAACTTCTGGCTTATAGAAACTTTTCACAGTTTTGTTCTTTGAATATAAAGTTGTATTGTGGAGTGAATACACTTTTTGGTGATCAGTTAGCATAGAACTAAAATTAGTTTAGTTATTCTGATCATATTAATAACTGAAAATGTTAAAATAATATCTTTAGAATATATCATTTTAAAATAAAAAATATTTATGAAAGGTTTTTATTTTTTAATGAAGTTAAATCAGATGAAATGAGTGAAAAAAATTATAGTTCCAAATTCTTTAAGTATAAATAGTCAATGTTAAAAAACAAAATACACAATATGTTTTGTTTAAATTTTATTAATTTAAGTAACTTTAACTTGTTTTTTGCTGGAGATTTATGTTTCTTGCTGTTAGGACAATTGTGATTTGTCATATTTAACATACTGATATTGATCATCTTATCATTAATGATTTATGCTTATCTCTCCATTATTAAAAACCTAAAATAAATTATTAGTATTAATTATTTATTATTATTTTATTTCAGGGGGGAGAGCATTTTATTATTTTTAGTTCAGACTGTAGGTAGACAAGCTGTTGAACAAAGACAGTATAGGCCTTCTCGTCCTAGAACTTCTGGTCAGAGGAAAACACCAGCTTCTGATTTAGGTAAATGTTTTGTAAAAACTTTTTAATTATAGTATGTAAACTTAGGCTCCACCAGTGTCCAAGCAGTTCTGTTCCCTGAACACTGGGAGTTTGGTTGTGGGTTTGTACCTTGCCAGGATGGGCTGGCCATTTGGAGTTTTCCAGGTTTTCTCCATGTCTGTAATGCCTGAATCGAGACCAGTTAACCTTAAAAAGACTTTCTGGAAGGCATTATTTTCCCCATATCACCAATTATCCAGAGAAAGCAATGGAAAACCACTCTGGTATTCCATTTCCTAGGAATCACTATGGAGCCATGACAACAAAAAAAAAAAGAAAGAAAGATAAAGAAAAAATGAGATTAACTTGTGCCGAGATGATCGCCCTTGTCCAGGGGACCGGACATGGCACATTCAAGAAAAAGTAAACTTAGTGATTTAATTTGATCTAAAAGTTTAATGTACTTTTGATTTGTTCTGATCTATATTGATGTTTTTCAAGTATGAATCAGTTAGGATAATTATGATTTGTCATATTTAAGATACTGTTATTAATCATCTCATTGTTAATGATTTATGCTTATCTCTTCATTATTATTATTTTATATTTATAACAATCTCAGAAATCCCTACTTTTTTTTCACTATAAAAACTATTACACTGTTGTAATTAATAGCTATCATTGTTTTTATAACCCCTCAGTAGAATTTATAAAAATAAATTTAAGTATTAAGTTGGTTTCAAATATTTACACTAATGATTAAAGATTTTTTTGAAGATTTAATTATAATTATAGATTGAATATGAAATTTTCTAGTATTTTTTTAAAAACAGTTTTTCATTGTTACTGAAGATATCATGTTAATTATAATAAAATATTTAATTTGTGCTTTGAAATGTATAATTCAAGTACTTTTTTTATGTTTAATTTATTATAATGAATAATAATGGATTTATTTGTTTTAAGATTACTTGAGTTTTTACTCTTGTGTATTAATATTGAAAATAATATACTTTTCAAGAAACAGATATGCCTGAACATGACTTGGAGCCACCTCGCTTCTCAAGACGTGCTTTAGAACGTTTATTAAATGATTGGAATGCAGTTAAAGCAATGATACTCTCAGGTTGGCGTGGAAATGATACAAATAATGGTTTAGCTGCTATTGGTCAACCATATGAAGACCAAGCTTATTTGAATAGTCAGAGTGGGACTGCTTTATTAGATAAATTCACTCATTGTTTACTTGTGAAATGCAGCATGGAGGTAATTTTTATTCAGTTATTTTATATCTGACTTAATCATTTTTAAAATTTGTGTTTTATTTATTTATTTATTCAGATGTTAGATACATTATTGACAACATTAATTCGAGAAATGCAGAATGATAGTAATCAGAATCGTCAGACAGAAGCTCATCTTGTAGCTCGAAGATTTATTAGATCTGTAGCTCGTATTTTTGTAATACTTAGTGCAGAAATGGCTCCCAATACGAGTCGCAAGAAAAGGTATTAAAATTTTTATTTTTAATTTTTCAATGATCATTTAAAATAGGCAATTCAAATAAGTACAGTAACTGTCAGCCTGTTATTCTAGAGAAGTCTTTGTTGAAAATTTCAAGAATTTTTCATGATCTGTCTGTCTCAAGTATGTTGAGCCCTTTCCTTATCCCTATTTGTTCCTATTGTGGGTCTCATTTAAGTCATTCATGATGAAAGTCATCAAAGAAATGTTAATTTTTATATTTTTCTTTTATTGCTTTGCATGTTTTAAAATGCCATTTTTTTATATACATATATATTATATCATTTAATCATGTATTTAAATGAAATTGATATGAGCTTTAATTGATTTTTTTATATTATTAATTTATCTTGGATATTCTTAAGTTTATACTATTAAATAGAAGAATTTCCAATTTATCTATACTGCAGGTCAGTTTTATTACTGGTTGTTCCCCTTAGTGATTGATATCTATAAGGTTCTGTTCTGCACTATGTATTTTGCACTATGATAGTGGTGTCAACATAATATATCTGCTTAAGGAAGTGTTTTGCTTTTTTTTTCTTGCCTGGGATGTATTCTTCAGCTATTACATTTAGTAGACTGCCCATGTCTCCACCACTATAGGAGTCTTGTTTGGATACTTTTCAATAATGATTTGACCACTCCTATCTCTTGTAGCATTTCAGCATTCATATTTTTTGTCTGTCCACTTGATCTTAAGTATTTTGCAATAACATCACATCTCACAAGATTATATTCTTTCTTGTTTATGTCCATATCTCTGCATAGTAGTGTGTGACACTCCAGACAAAAGCATGCAGAATTCTTTTTAAATTTATTTTCTTTGAGCTCAGTAGTTTTTTTTTACTATAGAAGGCTTATGTGGCAATGTGTCACTGGATCTCTAGAGTGCATCTGCCATCTTGAGTTATCATTTGTCCCAGATATATAAATTTGTTAGCTTGTTCAGCACTATTATCAATCATTATATTTATATCATGTGGTGTTTTTGACAAGACCAAACATTTAATCTTGGCAATATTAATTTTCATGCCATAATTTTTTACTATAGAATTGATTTTTTTCATTGCTTTTTGTAATGAGCTGGAGTTCCATGATAAAATAGCTTGGTCATCTGCAAACTTTATCTCTCTGATTTTGATGTCATTTATGTTTATTCCTTCTTGAATTTTTTCTAATGCATCCTGCATTATTAGTTTTCCAAATATATTACATAAAATAGGTGACAATGGGCAACACTGTCTACTATCTTGTTGATGTCCACTAGTTTTTTTTGTTGTTTAGTGCCATTGTAGCAGCTTGTTCGCTGTAAAAGTTCCTTATGTGATCTATGTTCTGTTCATTAATACCTATATTTCTCATTAATGAGAATAGTTTGCCAAGACATCCTATCAAATGCTTTCTTGTAGTCAATAAATCAGATAGGGGTTGAAACTGTGGTTCAGCATCCTTTCTCTCAATATTCTCAGTATTATGGTAACTGGTTCCTCTTTCTTTCTGGAGTCCTGATTGTTGACCCATATGTATGCCTTTATTTTATTTTCCATTCATGTTTTGAGGATATTTAAAAGTATTCTGGATGCATATGTGATTAAGCTTATTGTCTCATACTGGTCACATTGTAATGCCTTGATGTTCTTAGGTATTGGTACTATAATTGTTTTCAAAATATATCTACGCCAGTTACCTGATTGTATATAGAACTTATTAGATCAAAAAGATGTTTTTTCAGCTGTTTTCTTGCTGCCTAAAAATGCTTTATTGGCAATCCATCATTCCAGGGGCATGATTTTTGAGACCTTTGTTAGCACAATTTCAAATTCATCTTTGGTCACTGTAACACTATTTGTGTGTGCACTATCTTTTGGTATTTAATATTTTAGTGCTTTTAACTGGAAAAAATAGATAACACCTTGTTGTATCTACAATTACCATTAATATATTAGGAAGACAGCTTCATACATTCATAAAGAATGTGATTTATCAGTAGTAGTAATTTAAATTTTTTTTTCTTTGAGATGATTTCTCACAAATAATGAACAGTATTATTCTAAGATTTACTAGAGATTGAGACATTGATATGTTAATATATTACAAAATAAAATGTAACTTTTAAAAAAACATTCTTTTGCTTTTTAAATGAGAATAGTTATTTATGTACCTCTTGATATAACATTTGTGATAGTTTATACTGTATCAAATTGTAATCCATTAGATGTAGAGAAGATTAATTAATAACATATGTAACTTGAAAGCATGTTAAAATATAATTTTGTTTCCATTTTATACTGTTTTGTTGACTGCTAGCCTGTATTTGAAACTTGATAGCCTGATTCAGTGTTAACTCTGTTCTAATTAAAATTTTTAAAAATATGCATCAGGCTGGTGGTAAGTTCCACAATTCGCCAAAGTTTGTTCTAAGAACATTTTTGAATATGNCATTTTTTTAAAGTGTTAATGGAGCATCCCAACCTTTATTGAAATGTCGAAGAGCATTTCAAGCTCTTATTACATTAGCTGTAGAAGAATTGTGTGAGACAGCTGATTCATTAATTGCCCCTGTTCGTTTAGGAGTTGCACGGCCAACAGCACCATTTTTGTTAGTTTCATCCTGTATTGAAGCTGTACATGTAAGTAAAAATGATTATTTGAATTGAATTTATTTGAAATCAATAAGATTTTAATAAAAACATAATGCATTTAAAATTACAAAGTTGTGAGGCACTTTTTATACATACATTATTGTCACTGGAGATATTGTTTTGATTTTTCAATATCCTATTATTATTATTTTTATACAGTAGTTAGTGGGTTATACTCGGTTGATACCGGTGGCTGTGTACTAGGTAGGACCAGCGTCAAGTCATAGCAACCAAAAACTAAAATTAAATAAGTGTGTCAGTGTCTGTATTCAGGAATTTCCTAACAATATGGAATGTATTCAATATAGTGGCCTTCTGTAGTGTGATGTATGTATTTCTATTCAATTGTAATGTTTCAAGGCTTTTGTGTAGTGTGTGTGGTATGACACCTGTACAGGAGAGAACGACAGGTACGATAAGAACCCTTTCCATCCTCCACAGATGCCTTATTTCCTGGGCGAGTTCTGTGTACTTGCTAATTTTTTCAGTGCATGTGTTTTGTACATTGTGAGTGTTTGGAATGGCTATGTCTATAATGTATGTGATTTTATTGTGTTTGTCAATGAGTGTGATGTCTGGTCTGTTGTGGTAAATTGTTTTATCTGTGATTATGGCTCTGTCGTAGTACATTTTGTGCGTGTTGTTTTCCAATACTGTCTGTGGAATATACTTGTAGTATGGTTCGTGGATGTCTGCCAATTTGTGTTTCTTTGCAAGCTCTTGGTGTATTATATTTGCTACTTGATTGTGTCTATGTAAGTAATCTGTCTGTGCCAAGAGCTTGCAACCAGAAGTGATGTGTTGTATAGTTTCTGGCATGATGTGACATTTTCTGCATGTGTCATTTGTGAGTGTTGTATCTTTGAGTATGTGTTTTCTGTAGTTTTTAGTATTTATGACCTGATCCTGTATGGCAATCATGAATCCTTCCGTCTCCCCAAAGAGGCATCCCCGATCTAACCAGCTGTTTGACGCAGTTTTGTCAACAAAATCCTGGGCCAGGTCGTAAGGATGCCTGCCATGGAGAGCCTTTTGAGCCCATGATTGCTTAATGTTGTCTATGCTTTTTATATGTTGTGTCATGTCTGTATGTTGTGAGTGTAAGTTTAATGGTGTGTTATTTGAGTCTGCTAGAGTTACTGCTTTATGTAACTGTGATGTTTCTTGTTTCTTGTAGAAAAACTCTCGCAGTGACTGTATTTGTTTGTAGTGAAGGTTAACTATGTCAATCAGGCCACGTCCGCCTTCTTTACGTGGAAGGGTTAATCTTTCTGTGGCGGATTTAGGATGATGTTGTTTATGCTTAGTAAGTGTTGTTCTTGTTTTCCTTTGGAGTTGCTCGAGATCTGTGTGAGTCCAATGTATAACTCCAAAAGAGTATGTGAGTATAGGGATGACTTATGTGTTTATTGCTTTAACTATGTGTTTTGCATTTAGCTGTGTTGTGAGAATGGCATTTAACCTACTTTGGTACTCTTTAATTAATCTTTGCTTTATTTGTGTATGTTCTGTTAGTTTGGCCTGTTGGAATCCTAAATACTTGTAGAACTCGCCCTCTTTCATGGATTCAATAATGTCCCCATTTCCAAGTGCAAAATCTTCTTTTTTCAGGATTCCTTTTTTTATGTGAAGTGTTTTGCATTTGTCTAAGCCAAACTTCATTTGTATGTCCTTGGTGTATGAATGTGTAATTTGTAGGAGTTGAAGTTGTTTCTGTGTGGATGCATAAAGTTTTATGTCGTCCATGTACATGAGATGTAACAGTGTAAACTGTGTTGTTTTTTCATGTCTGATATTGTAGCCATATTGTGTGTTGTTTAACATGTTGGATAATGTGTTCAGGGCTAGGAAGAACCAGAGAGAACTCAAGGAATTTCCTTGAAAAATTCCTCGCCTAATGAATATTTCATTTGTTTGTATGGAAGTGTTACTAACCCTGAGATGCAGTGTTGTTCTCCAGTGCTGCATAGTGTTTTGGAAGAATGCAATGAGTGATGAATGTATTTTGTACATGTGTAGAATATGTAGCAGCCAACTGTGTGGAACACTGGCGAATGCTTTTCTGTAGTCTATATATGCCATGTGTATGTTTCTGTGTTGTTTGTGGCTTGCCGTAGAATGACTGAATCTATGAGTAACTGTTGTTTGCATCCCCTGTGATTTCTACGGCAACCTTTTTGTTGTTCTGTAAGAATGTCGTGTTCTTCAACATGTTTGTATATTTTGTTTGTGATACAGGATGTCAATAATTTGTACAGTGTTGGAAGACATGTAATTGGTCTGTATTGTGTGGGGTCTGTAGTGTTGTTGTTTTTAGGTTTCATGTAGGTGATGCCCTGAGTAAGAAATTTTGGCATGTCTTGTGGATTGATGATGATGTGTGTTAGATGTTTAGCTAGTTCCTGGTGCAGTGATGTAAACTTTTTGTACCAGAAATTGTGAATGTCGTCTACACCAGGTGTCTTCCAGTTGTGTGTTCTGTTAACAGCGTAGCGAATGTCGTGTATGTTTATTTCAGCACAGGGCATAGTTGGTATGTTGTGCAAGTTTCTGTTCTCCTCCTCGATCCAGCCTGCATCAACATTGTGCGTAACAGCACTAGACCAAAGAGAAGACCTATAAGTTGTGAGTTGTTCTTATGTTGGTGTGCCACTGTGCTGTGTATCAGTGTTTGTTTTGGTATTGATTTGTCTGTAGAAAAGTTTTTCATTGTTTGTGAATAATTTATTTTGTTGTTTTCGTAGTGTTTTGTATTGTTTGAGTCTACGTACTTTGGCTGCGAGTTTGTTTTAGTATATCAATGTATTCTGTAATGTGTGTGTTGTGATATTCATATTTTGTGTGTGTTTTGATTTTCTTGAAAATGTTCTTGAGTTGTTTCTTTAATTTAGGTGTTATGTTGTTTTTAGTGTATTGTGTCAGCCTGCCTAATTGCTGTCTAATGTCATTTATTTGTGTTTCTATTCTTCTCTGCCAGGCAGGTTTGTGATAGAATTGTGTTTTGTGTGTATCTGTCTGCGATTGTATTTTCAGACCAAGGTGTGTCACTACTGTGACTGCTTCAGCATGATCTAATGTATGAATGTCTGAGAGTGTAGAAATTAAATGGATGTAGTGTGGTAGTGAGTGTTTACATAATTTAGCATTTTTCCTACTACCTTAGACATGTTGATTTTTGGTGTTCATGGTCTGTGTGGGATCTGTACCTGTATATTTAGTGAGTGTTACCTGAAATATAAGTGAGAGAGCATATTAACTAAATTGATGTTTATGTTACCATCGGTGGATGAGGAAGTGTCTGTAGTATCATTAGTAGTAGTTGTGTGTGCTATAATCAGTGCTTTTTGCTGGATTATTCTGACAGGTTACGTGATCTTCATTAATGTTAAATGTTTCTGTTCGTTGATGTATCTGATGAGCAACCTGTTGTTTGATGAGTTCAAGTGTTGTTTGTGGGATAAGGTTGTTGTGTATAATTGTTCTTTTTTGATCAACAAAGCTTTGTTTGGTGACAGTGAGGTGAGGATATTGTTGTGTGAATCTATGGTGTAGTTGTTATCTGTATGCTGTCATGTTTGTTTCAAGTTTTGTGATTGCGTAGTAAGTACGGATGATAAACTTGTTCATTTCTGATGTCCATTTCATTTGTTGGCATGGTTTTCCAGCCTTTGTAGTCGTTGGATGCATTGCTACAGAAACACCAAGGCTGGGTTGGTTCCTCACATCTGTTGAGGGCATTGCAGTAGCCATGCTTTTACCACTGGTAACCAAGGGAGACTGTGGCCTATTTTTTGAACATGAGTTTCTGCCTAACCCAGGAATGTGGACCTTGTTATCCCGGGTGACATCGGAGCTGGAATCATACTTAGATCTGGTTACTACCATGATAAATATCTCCACAGAATGTGGGTGTGTGGTCACTCTTAGCTTGATTTCTCCCCATTGACCTTACTGGCATGGGTGTCCATACCAGGAGCTTGTGCTTCAGCCTGTATTGTTTTATGAATCAGTAAAATTACTGGGCTCTCCCACCACAATCAAGTGGTGACAATGGGAGAGTTATTATTATTATTTTATTTTTAAAATTTATTAATCTAGTATATTTTTCTAGTGTGCAGAATTTAATCAATTAAAATTAGAATATCTGTGTTTATATTTTTTTAATCAAAATAAATATTTATTTCTTTTGCTCAAAATTTTTAGAATAGGTTTTTTTTTCAATGTTATTAATATTCTTTTAGGGCAGTGAAGAGCTTTTTGCAGTTGATCCAATGCTGACTCGTAACAATCAACATGAAATATCAAATGGAGGAAGTTGTACTTCAGATAGTCAACAAATTTCTGTTGGACAAGTTGGTTCAACTAGAGATAGAGATGAAGAAGATCATGAGGTTTTATTTATTCTATTTAACATTAAAGCACATTATACTTTTTACATTTAGCATTTGTATGTTGATATTGTTTGGTTAGGCATGTTAATATATTCAATATTTCATTTTAAGTTAATGTTTAATCCATGCACTTTTTACAAATATCTTTATGAAACTGAGAATGTGGATGATTTATTTTATTAATTCTATTAGATAATTTTTTTCCAAAAGAATGAATATTTGTTTTTCACCTGTTTCTATTTTTTGTATGTACAGGAAATCCTCATTAATTTGAAATTCAAGGGTAAAAAAATAGTTACAACTTCAAATTATCTGAGACTTGCATATTTCTCTACAATAAGCTGAATGCCATGTAGATGATGTCATTTATTGAGCAAACAGAGTACAGCTACATATATAAATCACTACTGTTGTTAATTAATAATTATTAACAACAACATAAATAAACTGCTGGTAAACAGTATATGTCAGTTAGAACTTTGCAGGTTGCCAGATAAGTTTTATAAAAAGAAAGCAGAATTTTTGAACTGTAGCCAAAAAAGTAGTGTCATCCAAATCTAGTAGTGTAGAACTTGGAACCTGAAATCCAGCTGTAATTAATGAGAAAAGAGAAAAAAGGTAGTTGATGGGTAAGGTAACACTCAAAAATGTGTTATTGTAAAAGCCAGGGCTGTGGAGTCGCGTAAAAATCTACCGACTCCAACTCTGACTTCGACCAGGGGCGGACTAGTTACCGAAAGAGACCCAGAAATTCTGATGTCATTACGTGACCTCAGAATAAAAGATTCAATAAATAGAGTTCTAATAAAGATAGAACATAGAAACTTTTTATTTCAAAGCTAAAAGACTCCTCTGAGTAACATATAAATATGTATTTGATAATTTTTACTTTTCCGGCTGTTATATATAACGGAGGATATATAACAAAGTGTAGCGCTCGGTCAAAAAATGACCTCTCCCAAATTTTTACATTTTTGGACTCAGACCACCTTGAAATTTCGAGTTAATTAAGCAAAAGATTCAAGGTTTTTTCTATGTGTGTGGATGTTAGACTGTGTGGGGGGCATGATTTTGTTCACCCTGTTTGAAGCCTAATAATTTCTGTGGTCAAATTGGTCAGAATCAAAGTCAGATGGTTAACACAGGAGTTAGTTTTTGACTGTTGAACACAAGATTGTGTTGTTAATTAAACACTTGGCTTTTTTCCATCTTTATTCAGTTTGTACAGGTACTTCTACATGTTTCGGGCAACTTGTATCCTTGCGATGTATGTAGTATCCATTTGTTGAACTGTATACGTTATTTTTCTTTTCTTGATGGAATTCGCCGTTTCTATAACCAATAATTTGTAGTTGATTTGTTTTCTAAAACAGTGTTTTAGTATTCAGAAATACTAAAAAACAGTTTCAGAAAACAAAACAGGAGTTAGTTATTAAATGTCAAAGTGGTTGAACTAAATCATGTCCCCATATACATTCTAACATCTTAGACGAGAGCATCTAAACGTGTTTTACTGTACTATTTATAAAATGACGAAAAAGCTTACTTTGAAGATAGAGACGAGTTTTATTTTATTTTTTTAAATTTTGAACGCTAATAAAGAGTAAAATATTCATTAAGAGATATGACATATGACCCCTTTTATGTCTTCACCCTGTCGACCTTTAATTCAAAACCAAAATTTAATAGTTTTAATGCCCCTTTATACGCAAGCTACAGTGCCACATTTCATTTCTTAAACTTTACCCATTCTGAGATATTGTTTAATATCTCAGAACAGAAAGTAAAGAAATTAAACAAATTAGACGCCAACACACAAACACAATTTTTCCCCTTTTATTGACTTTTTTGAGGGGTTCGGGAGGTCTCCAAACATGTAGATTTGCAAAAAAAAACTTGAAGGGTCAAATTTGACACGATTCCAATACTTTTCCATTTTATATACATAAGTTGGTAAGTAAAAAGGAGTCAGAGTCAGTGGATTTTTTGACAACTCCGACTCCGGCTAAAACACCAAAACTCCACGACTCTGAATCCACAGCCCTGGTAAAAGCAAAATTATATTGACCAAATTAGAGGAGTTGTTCTATTATAACATGGAGGCATGTTAAGTTTAATTTAAACATGAGTTAACATATGCATATCACAATTTGGACAGAATTTTCACTTCAAATTTTAAAGTAGCCATACTTAAAACTAACTAAATTCCCTAGCATGTAAATCTCTATATTCCTGTTGGAACAAATAGTACAGTGGTAAACTAATGGGATTTTGAATTAATGAAGATTGCCTGTAATTTGAAGTGTAATGGAAAAGATTTACTTATATAAGAAGAAACAATTCTGAAAATTTTTAAAGGATTATTATTTCTATTTACTTCTTTACAAAATAATGTATAAAATAAGAACTTAAGGAATACATAAAATATGACAAACAAAATAATAAACTTCATTTCATTACATAAAATTTCCAATATTTATAGAATACAAAATTATTTTATGTATTAAGTTACTGTAAAAAAAAAAAAAAACATAAAATATAAAAATTTAATATTGGTGTAACATTCATGTTTGAATAATTCTAACAATTTTTATTAATTAAATAATTCAATAATGGAAATGCTAGAATTTTTCAAATGTATTAGTCTCAATGTTCAAATAGAGAATATAGATTATTTTAATATATATTAAGAAAAACACCCAATAAGACACTATGTTAATTGTTTAACTTATTTTTAAACTTTTAATATTTAGGAAATAAAAAATAAAAAAAAGTCTTGTTTTGGAGTCATCAAATGTAGTTAAAAAAATAGTAATTAATTTTAACAAAAAGTTGCTGTCATAATAAGATTTTCTTGGGCTGATTACTGATATTTGAGTACTAAATCAAATTGTTGCTTGTACTCATAGATACTATAATGTTAAATCTGATAACTCTAAATGACTGATATCTCAAGACAATGACTTATATATCTGATACTTAAATATCTTGTCTTGAGATATCAGTCCTTCGGAATACACTTATAAAACTTTGCTTATTGTAATCAGAGTTTTAGTTGTTATTCTGATTATCATTAGGTAATAGACATTTTTACTTTCCCGGCTGTTATATATAACAGAGGAAAGTATGGTGATCGATCAAAAAATGAACCCACAAAATTTTTACATTTTTGGACTGGATACCTTGAAATGTCAAGAAATGCAAAAGAAAAAAAAATTGGGTCTTTTTCTGTATGTATGGATGTTAGTGTGTGTTGGTGACACAACTTTATTCTCTGTTTGTAGCTTAATAACTCCTGTGCTTTTTGTCAAAAATTCTTCAAATTTTGCATGGAGGTTTGTGTATTAGGGAGATTGGTGATATTAAATTTTGGTTGTTAAAGGTCAGTGGGGTGGGAAGACAAAGGGAATCGTGTTGCTTCTTGTATAGGGATGGTCTTAATGACAATTTTACTTGTTATTAGGATTTAGAATTTTTTATAAACCCATCTCTATCCTCAAAATTATGCTTTTTGTTGCCATTTTATAATAGTTAAAAATAAAAAGAGCTTTTTTAATAAAATATGATCATAGATGGCACCACCAAATGTTGGTGGGAAAGTTAAGCAACTTGTTGCTGGATTTTTTTAAGCCTGTTTTTTCTGCTGCTATTCTTAACATATGGCTGATAACATGCATTGTCATTAGTCCTATTCAGTGTTTTAGATGTTAAAGATTGATTGTTTTAATCATTACAGTGTTTGCTTGCAGGACAGTTAAATTGCTGGTCGTCTTATTTCAGTTATATGCTAGATATTGTTAAAGATTGTACTGCAACAAACAGCTGTCAAACAAGACTAGATGGGTTTTTAAGTTATATTTTTTTCTATTGACTTAATGTGTTCTTTTAATGTCACTCAATAAAATAAGAATTTTCACTAATTGTAGTTTTATTTACTTGCTCCAATTATGTAATACTGTTGGATGAGTTAATGAACATTATTGGTTGATTATCTTAATTATTATTTGCAATTTTCAAAGTGATTACAGGTTTTACTGTTATATTATGTGATTGATGCTAGCAGATTGTCTTAGTAATATCTTATTTCTTTGGTTCTAAGATGCACTTTTTTTTGCCAATTTTTGCTTATTTGAAATAGAAATATATATTGGAATCAGTGGAATTTTTCATTTTCAGACCAAAACAATCAGAAAATCATCATAATTAGGGATCATGTGATGCATTATGCACTAGTAAAAAATGTTTTTTTGGCTGTACTGCTCACCAGTCACATTTGTTCAAATAAGTTTTGTCATTAATGTGCATTTTAATTTAAGCTCCTTTTTTTAACATTTAAAGATGATATTTTGATACAGCATTAAAAGTTATTGTATATACAGAAGAGCATGGAAATGGAACTGCCAAATGATGTTTCATGGCATTTATATCATTTTTCTAATTTGTTGTTGTTTAACAAAACTTAAAAATCTTTAAATAATTGATTTTATATTCTTTCATAAAAGAAATCTTTAAATCTGATTCCAAACTTATGATGTGTCTTAAATTCAATAGCATCTTAGAGTTGATGAAATACAGTACTGGTAGTTGATTTGTTACATTCAGCAGTCACATTCAGGATTAAAAATGCAAATATTTTTAAAATCAAATTTATTGGAAAAATTCCAAATAATACAATGAGACTTTTTTTTGTGTGAAATAAAACTGCTCAATAACAAAACAAAAATTATAATTATTATATGATTCTATTTTTCTTTTTTTGTTCATTGCCATTAAACACATTCCACTAACTGAAAGATTTTTTAACATTTTAAATTAAAAAATGAACTTTGATAAGTTATTTTATTACTTTCTTATACTAATATTTGCAGTAATGCCTGATTTCTGAATTAAATTACTAAGATGGTTTTTATTTAAACTTTGTAGTTTTCATAAAATTATTTGTTAACATCATTTATAAATTTCAGGTGGATGTAGTTGAAGGAGCAGTCAGTGAAGATCCAGATCATGAAGAAAGTGAGAGAGATGATCGCACTGAGCACTCTGAACATGACAATATTCCTCCAGAACATAATGAAGAGGGTAAAATAATGTATTAATTATAAATAGTAATTTTAAGCCAAGTATTAAAAAGATTTGAAGCTTTGTTTTTTATAATATTTGTGCAAAAAAAGGCTATTTGAGGATGTTACCAATTTTTACAATACAGAAATAAAACTAATATACAGTTGCCAAAAATATATGGTCAAATAGAAGTTAAACTAAAATATTTACTTTTAATTTAATTTTATGCAAAATAAATTTTAAGCTATTTATTAATTGTACTTTTCATTTTTGTTAACTTTTCATTAACTTGGAAAATAAAAGTACTTATTTGATTTCACAAAGAAAGTATATAATAGTATTTAATGCTTATTTTCAAGTTACTTCATTACAATTTAAGTTTTAAGAAATATATAATGATAATCTTTATTCTTTTAGATTAATTGAAAAATATAAAGATTTTACAAATATTGCTAGTAAGATATGAACTTGATGAAAATAATTAAGCATTAAAATTCTCAAGAAAATAGTGGCAATATGCAATGTATGTCAGCAGAATTTAATTTGAAAGAAAAGATATTTTTTTCAATATAATTTTGTGATGTAACAATTTGCAACAATGTATCATATCTGTGGAAGATTGTCTCAGCATAAAGGATTTTCTAAATGTAGGCAAGGGCCTCATTCTGTTGCCCTCAGGATAGTTTCTTTTGTGTGAAATTGTCAGCTTTTTTCGTCTATGGAAATAAATCAGGGACTTGGATGCAAAAACTAAGGTAGATATTCCAGAATCTTAATTTCCACTATTAGAAAGCCTGTAATAGGAGTGGCCATATGAATGCATAGTCTTGCAACACAATAGCTAAAATGTATTAAATATGACAAGTTTTGTTGCACAGTTGGGTACATATGATGCTCAGAAATATTAATTATAATATTATCCTGTGAGACAATGTAGTAGAACGATTCTATGGTCATCTTATACCACTATGAATATTATTTTTATGTGGTCAGTTTTTGTCACAATTTCTTGGAATAGGCAGTGCCTAGATGGTGCAGTTCACTAGAATACCTTTTGAATTCTGATTACAACTGGTTTCTTGTTTTATTAAGTGCAATGATATGTTTGGTGACTGTATTAGTCCTCTTCCTATAGTAGCACTTCAGTTATTGAGGGGAAGTGGTTTATTGGTGCCATTTCTACATTGAGATTCTGTGATATCCAGCATACTACAATCGTACAGTACATCATTGAGTACAATTGTATAATTGTATTTAATATTTCTTTGAGAATGGATTACGTAAATGCATCACACATACTAGCCACATACCTAGTTTTTACATTGTCCTCCATTTTTTTTTTCCTTTTTCTATTTTCAACAATAACTGGATAAATTGCATGTAGTCATACTCAAAATATGCCACTTACATTTGGTTCATGAATTATGCTGTCTCAGCCCAGTGAAATGTTGCAATTGTCCTGTATGGTAACATCTTATCATTTATACTTTCTGCAATAATCTTTTGCTTTGAATTATCGTACAACATTGAGTTTGATCCATGCTTATTGCTCTATGATGGCTATAGAGTTGTCCTATTTGATTTCTTCAATTAAACAGCATATTTACTTGACTTTGTCACCAAATACTTGTACAAGCTTGGAACTTGATATACAATACAGTACTAGCACCATATCATGTCACTTCACTAATTTATTGCACTTTGCTTAATAAGCATTGTCACTATTTTTTATCAACCTATGTATTATTTTATTCAAAATTATTATTGAAGTAAAAAAACTCAAAATTTATTACTTATCTAAACCAGAATATTGTTTTACAAATTGTTACCAAAATTATTAAATGTAATTAATGTAAATATATTACTTTGTTTTTAGTTATTCTGTCTGACAGTTTAATAATGCTTGTGTAATATACACTAACAATTTACAATGATTTATTGAACATGAAACATTTTTTCTGTAAATTTTTTATTAATTGCTGTATATAAATTATAGAAAGTGACAGTGATAGTGACAGCAATCCTGATAGTGCATCATATCAAAGTAATCAAGACAATGCTAGTGCACAAAGAAGTGCAACAACAGGAGCAACAGCTGGTTCTGATGCTGGTATGTTAACTTTTAATATTTTAAATACAAAATTTTTACTTATATTTAATATTATAAGAAATCATACAGTAGAGCGTCAGTTATCTGAAGGAATTCCAGTCGACAAATTTAAATTTTCTCCAGTGCTGTGGCACTGTAATCTTTGGCTATGTCTTTGGCTACTCAAATATTTTACATTTTTGATACTAAACTAACTTCTGAAGTATAATTTTTTATTGCTTTTATATTTTTCAATATATTTATTTTGTTTATACAAAATAAAAAAATAATTTTTAACGATACAAAGTCTTCGTTAGGCTTAACATGGACGAAAATTCAACGCGAAGCAACACGCAATGGAGAAAAATTTCAACACGGGATAAATTAATATATTTTTTCGTACATAATTGGTTATCCGAAAAATAAGTTATCCGAACAACCCCAGTCCCCAATTGATTCAGATAAACGACGCTGTACTGTATATCCATATGACTATTACTACACCACAAAATTACATTATGTGTACCTGAACCTTCTTTTTCAGATTTACAATGAAATGAAGTTTTTGCCAAATGTTTTAATCAATTGAATACTTTTTTTACCTATTTAATCATGAATTCTTTGAGAAGTATAATAGTTTTCATCATTGTAAAAAGAGAAGACACTGAGGTCGGCGTTATGTGTGTGTTTTTTTAATTGCTAATACTTTCGATGAACATATATTGTTACAACTCGCTATGGTCCCAAGCGGTTATGCTCAAGAGCTGTAAGGATCGAAAAATCGTTTTCATATGGGAGTCTCTTCTTACTACCACCTTGGACACGTGCAACATTCCAACTCTCGAGCTGCTCAGTGTATGGGTCACACTATACAAGCAATTAAGTAAAAATTAGCATTCTCCAGAATGCGTATAGTGTGTGTCTAGATCTGCGCATGCACATATTTGCACATCATGGAGCTTTCTGCTCGTTCATTTTTCAAACATTTTTGAATATTTCTGTCGTGTTCCTAACGACTTTGACTAAAGTTTCAACTTAAATTTAAGCGTTCTATTCCAAATCGGATTATTTCCGTTTAATTCTTTTGGTAAATCTTCGTATTCGCCTGATGACGACGACTATATGTTCGTCGAAAGTACTAGCGATTAAAAAAACGCACACGTAACACCGACCCCAGTGTCTTCTCTTTTTACAATATAGTATTTTGGTGTGATCGTCGGCATATTGATCACAGTTTTCATCATCATGAATTCTTTGAGAAGTATAATAGTTTTATAAAATAATGACTTTTTTACATTAAAAAGAATCTAAAATGAACAATGATAAATGATGATAAAATAAAAAGCTCATGTTTTGTTTGTAAATTGCTTATTTTTTTATTACATTGAAGTTGTGGATTCTATCAAGCATTTTTCTACAGGATATATGTACTGTATTTTTTTAATGTGGCAGTCTTTGAAACATATCAACTGTCAAAAAGAGGGATAGATGTATTCAATGTTCACAGTAAATAAAATGCTGTTTTATTATGTCAATATTCCACACCCTAAGAAATGTGAGGGTCAAGGAATTCAAAACAAAAATTTGAATGGGAAACCTGTATACAGGAAGTGATGTTTTTCTACAACAATTTATGATATCAAAATGTAGTTGTTGATCTTTGAATTTATAAATGATACTTCAGTCCATAATTTAAGACAGGGGTTTTAGAAGAAAATTATTTGAGATAAATGTTAAAAAAATAGAGAATTTAAGCTGAAAATGCAGGAGAAAAAATACATTTTGAGATAAACATGTTTGAGATACAGGTTCAACTGTATTTGTTTGTCATAAAAATATTGTATAATTTGAACATCTGAATGCTTTATATACTTTATATGCTAGTCAATATACTTTGATTTTAAAATAGTACCATATTGAATTTATTTATTTTTAGGAATTGCTAGCATTCCCTACTTTTCAGAAGATGATTCGGCAGAATCTTCAAATGCAGAAGATGAAGAAGAAAGTGAAGCAGGAGAGACTGAACCTGATACAGAAGAACTGGCTTTTCTTGATGAACAATTAGAAAGAAGAAGCACAACTGGAAATACTGGTCCTAGACCTAATTTAGCTCCTCAACATATGCAGTGGGCTCTTCGTCAGCGAGAATCTGGTCGAGGTGCAATCAGTAATTCTGGTACAGATCTGTTTTTAGATTTTGAAATATGCTTGTTAGAGTTTGAAATATGTTTATAATAATGATTTTATTTTCAGGTTCAAGTGGTTTAATATATATAGATCCTTCATCATTACGTAGAACTACAGCTGGAACTACTTCTGTAGCAGCAGCAGTAACTCAAGAATGTACTATAACCATGGCAACAACAACAGTCTGTCTGTCTCGTGCTTTTGCCATTGTAATTCATCAGATAGCAGATTTATTGACTATGTTACAAGATTATCATGCTTTAGTGCCAAGTTTGCCAAGAGTGCTAGATGTTTCATATCAGGAATCAATAAATTTACAAGTAATATTTTTTAATCAAAGATTTTTTTAAAATTTGTTTAATTGTTTAATAAGATTTAATATGATGTTTCTTTGATGTTTTATAAGATTTAGTTTTAAAAGTAAAAACATGTAATTTTGAAATTTTATATTTAAAATGAAAAATTATAACTTTCTATAAATATCTAGTTTAAAAAATATGAAAATATAAATATTAAAAACCAAAATTGTTGGGTTTTGGAAATGTTCTTGATTAATTGGAATTGGATCTAATAAATTTAATAATTATAAAAATTTGCTATTACACTTAAGTGATATTGCTATTTATTAGAGCAAGTTATTAATTCATTTAGAGAATTGTGTGGTAGAAAATAGCTTAGTTACACTCGAATGCATCCCAAGACAAAATGAGCTATTCTTTTAAACAATTTCAAATTAATAATGCATTTGTTTAATAATTAAACTTATTAACAAATGAGTATAGTACGTATTTCAACAGTACAATATCAAATTTCTTATAATTGTCATAAAGATTTATTAACTAAGCTTAACTTTGATTAATGGAAAATATATTGTAATCAATAATTTCAAGTTTTGGTCTTTATCTTTTCTTCTCTTAAGACGAAAATTATCTTCTGAAGAAGTTTTTTTTTTATAATTTCTATAGAAAGTTGTTGTCAATTCAACATAATTATATTCTATAGAAAACTTTTATTAAGTAAATTAGTATATAACTTAAATACCAACTGTACTTGTAAAGAAAGCCTTCAGTTTGATTTTAATAATAATTTATTATGGATTTATCTATGCTGTATGAATAGAAATTATTATTATTATTTTTTTTTTTTTAAGATCTTAACATGAATAAAAGACATCTAAATTATTAGCTTATAAATAATTGAAGAATTGAAATTAATATTTATTATCTTAGCAAACATGAATTATTTATTTTATTTTGTAATTATTCTACTATTTTTGGTAATACAAGTAAACTATAAAACATAACTGCAGCTTTGAATTGGTAAAAGTCATAGTACTGATCATCTTTTAAGCTATAATATTTTATAGAAAAGAATAATATCATAGCATACATATTACAAAATACAGTTACTTATTTTAATAGAAATCTGAACTTTTTGGCCTACATAAGCTATTTTAATTAGAAATTATATTTGAAAATTTATGCACTCTAAATAAGTTCTTCAATTGTAACAGTCTATATCCATGGCAGCTAAACTGTGGCTCTTCTAGACTCTTACTGTAGATTCCATACAGCTTACTTATACAATTTTTTTTTTATAAACTTAAACGTATATAATGCTGTTCTAATAGATAATGCAGCTCTTAGTATTTCTGATAAACAATACATGGTTTCTATTGTGACAAGGTTTAGCCATTTGTGTTCTATTTTTAAAACAGCTGATATTGATGTAGAAGGTTTACAAGTTTTTAATTTGTTTTAATCTTAGCTTTTACTGCATGCTTTACTGGTTTTTCATAAACTCTAATTAAAAATTAATATTCAGTAATAAAACATGACTTAATGAAAAAATTTAATTAATTATAATACTTTAATATATGCTTATAAAATTTTATATAGCTATATCTTGAATATCATCTAAAACCAATTTGGGAATGGTTAGTTACTGTAATGGATTCTACAGAAGCACAATTAAGATTTGGTTGTGCACTGACAAATAGTTCCGATCCTGCACATCCTGCACATCCCCTTCATTCTCAGCACCTAAGGCCAGGTCGAAGAGGAGAAGAAGGTCGTTCTCAGGGTTTAGACAATCGGCGAAGAGGAAGAATAGTAACTTCTGGTAATAATTTATAATAGTCATATAAAAGTATTTCTTATAAATTTGAATATAAAAATAAAATAGAATTAATGACAATTAAAAAATATAATACTTAAAATACCATGAAAAAATATTATCTTAAATTTTTCTAGTTGAAAACTTAACTGAATGTTTATTCATGTTTTAATTTTTATATCATACCATAAAATTTTATGAAATAAAGTTATCTTCATATTCAAAATTATCTTAAATTTGAAATCTATAGAATTAGCAGTGTTATTTAAGATAATTTATTTTTGGTAGTGATGTAACAAATATTCGGTTACTATTCGGTATTCGGCCTATTTTTCACAATTCGGCCGAATACCGAATATTTAATCACTATTTGGCCGAATACCGAATACCTAAAAGCAGGAGTAATAAATAACAAAAACACAGTAAATTAATCATTTTGTTATTTAGATTTAATGTTATTGAGTTAGTGTTGTTTGTTTATATTTATTTATAACTTGTAACATGCACAAAATAAAAAAGAAAATAATATTAGTCACATGTATTCACAATTTATAATTACAAAGATCAGCACACGTACACGTCTATCGTTGGAGAATCCTCACACATCTGAGGGTCTGACCCTGCCTATCCTTCTTTTCAAGTGCTCATCTTTGCTCTTTCCTTTCTCTTTCCTCTATTGCTCTAATCCACATACGCCTCTGCATACATCATAATACGCGCTCACGATACTTTTGATTCGTCACTTTTCCGTCGTAGAGTTTCCATTTTACAATCACATGACAGCCTGGTGATAATGGAGAAAAGAGACAAACAGGACGTCGATATAAGTCACAGTTATGATTTCACAGATTCGAGACAGCTTGATAGCCCAAACGGCCCCAGGCTTTCGCCTGTGCACGCTAAGTGACTTTCATTACAAGCATTTAGCTTTCTGAAGTCTATGACAACAATTGTTTGGCATTGAAGGCCACGAATTTCATGCCAATAAGCTGCCTCGACTTGTTCAATTATGTTTTTGGCTCATTTTTAATTTATTTTCACATTTTCACTTCACGGTCCTTCTCTGTTCTTTTTCCGTTATTTATACGTATAGGTCATTTCATTGTTATCCACATTTTATATCATCATTTATCACATACTTTCATGACACTCTTGTCTGTCCACTACAACTGCCAAGAATTAACGCGATTGGCAAAGCGTAGTGACAGCGGACCAATAGAGAGCAGGATCCTTGCCATAATGTGGTTTGCGCGCCAATTTTTGTACGTGCGTTAATCAAGCAGAATAGTTTGGCCGAATATTCAGTATTCGGCCTGAGGCAGAATATACTATTCGTTACAACACTAATTTTTGGATATTCTAAATATTAAAGATTATGTAATTCAGGTTTTACCCATTTCCATAGAGTTGCTAATATTGCTGTAGACACAATATTTTGAAGTAATGTCATTATTGGTTTAATTAAATCTTATGTTTTTAAAGCTTTGCTGCTCATATTCTTTCCCAAATTATTTTTCATAAAATGTGACAACACAATGTTAACATAAGCAAACATTGGCCAGCATTTTAAGAGTTTTTTTTTAATAACTAATTTTTTTTCTAATAAATAATAATCTAATAGCTTTGTCTTAAAAGCCATTCAACAGTTATGCATATTTTGAGATTGAATAAAAATAAAATTACAAAATGGCAATGAAATAGAAGTGTCTCATTAAGCTGATCAAAGATTTCAAAATTTTATAATATTAGATGCATTGAGAGTATGATAGTATGAAGAGTTTAGAAGAATTATTTGTTTTGTCACTTAAGAGTTATCTTGGTTTAAGCATGTCATTACCGGATAGATATTAAATGCTAACAGATGGATTCTGCAGAATAAGTTAGTTCTAATTAGGGAAGAATTCTCATTAGTTCTTCTAGATTATTTATACATGTATATCTTCAACAGATGTTTGATTATTATAAATGTCTATGTCGATAATAACAACAATATTTGGATGTGGATTTTGAGCTTATTTAATTTCTCTTATTTTCTCTTATTTAAAATTTTACATTTTTATGTATTTATTGTATTGCACTGCTCAATATACAGCAGAATCTGTTTGTTGTAATTACTTTGGGACTTGCCTATACTAAGGATAAAAAATTGACTGATAATGTTAAGATGGATCGGTAAACAAGACTATAACTAATGAAAATTCTGATTTTATGTACTCCAGCATCAAAAGGCCTTGTTAAAATAATTAAAAAATATGTAATTTAAGATTTATTAATTATAATTACAATTACTGTTAATTAATATAATTCATCCAGCCTGTAATTAAAGTAAGGAAATGCCACAACTTAAACTACTGCATACAAATGATTAAACATTTTATCATTTGATTTAACATTTATTGTTTAAGGCATTAGTTGAAACTGATAATGATTGCATGTTATCAACAACACATTAATGTTTATAGGGCAAAAAGATATCTTCACATAAATAGAAATTTTTAAGCTAAGTCTGATTACAATACATAAAATTTTACTAGGACATTGTGCGACTTTGTCGTATTGCAATAGAATTGAGGCATAGCCAGGAAGAAAGAAGTGATCTCTGTACCTGTTAGGCATAGAACAGGTGATCCTTGTACCTGATGGATGTGGATAGGTGAATTTGCACTTGCTGCCACAAAAGAGGCTATCCTTGTATCTGCTGGCTATCAGAGAGGTGGTCCTTACACCTGCCAGCCATGGGGGAGACAATTTTTGCACTTGCTGACATGAAGAGGTGAACTTGTGTTTTGTTCGTTTTTGCACTTATTCTTCATTAGAGCATGCATTTCTGTTTTATTTTTGACTTGTAGGTCTAAATTTCTTCTAGGTGCACTCAGTCATATCAGAGAGCATGGACATTGTCATTTTAATACCTCTGTATATTGAAAACAAAGTCATGAACTCCTAGTTTTTAATTTTAAATGGACTTTTATTACATTTTTGGATTCCTCATTGCAATAAACAGAAAATAGCAAAGCTTTATTAAAATTGGCCTTTTAAATTTTGAGAATGAACTACTCAATTCTATAGGCCCATAGAAGGCATGCTTGCAGCCATGGGATATGGCTCAACAAAGCCACGTGATTTGTGTGATATAGCTTTGTCATGCACACTTATGATATGACCTTATATCTTGAAAATGAAGTCCTGGACACCCATTTTTATTACATTCTTGGATTCCTCATCACAATTAATGAAAAATGGCAAAGTTTAATCAAAATGAAATAGATTTTGAGAACAAACACAATTCTGTAAGCCACACAAAAGAGACTTTGCTAATGCTCCACCTCAATAAAATTAATTTAACTTGGGTGTTCTGGGATGTGCTAATTTTGATAACATTAAATGATTGATGACAATACGATTATAATAAGTAGATTCTACTGAATTTGTAAGTTGGAGATGATTAGCATATGCTGAAAAACTAAACAAAAGGAATGTATTCTTGGTTTTTTTAACTAGGCAATATTTAATTTTGGTTTAAAAAAATTATTAAATGTCATAAATATGTTTTAAATATGATGATTGATTTTAATGATATATTTCTATGTAGATGAGTTTTCATTGTTTAAATTTTATATTGTTATATGCTTTTACATGGAACTTTTATTGTTAATAGAGGATGGTAATCTCTTGTCATTGGGCTCTGTCCATGTATAATTTAGAATAAATAAGATTATTCTATATGAAATTTTTTGTCATATACAATTTAAAAAATTAATAAATGTAAAGATATAATAGTCTCTAAAATATATGAATTTGAAAGTGATATAAAAAAACTTGATCAGTAATGATTACATAATAAAAAAAATATAGGATCTACAATAAAGGAAATGATTTATTAGAGAGAAAACAGTTGGGAATATGGTGTTTTATAAACATTTTCCTAAATTTATTTTATTACTTGATAATTTTAAAATTAATTTTTATTGAAAATAGTAGATACATATTAAATTCTTGAAATTTCATAAGATGGAGAAAATGCTTTAGTTTTTACAGACAGCTTATGAAGAAAATATCTTTTCTTGGATAGTAACTATTGTAAATAAATTGCAATTATTATTGCTTGAAAGACTACAATTATTGTCTACTGTAAAACAAATTTAATAGACATAAATTAAAATGAGTTTAGTAATTATAAGTTATATAATATAGAATGTGATTCTTAAAGTAAATGAATTAATATTAATTTTACATTTTTAGGTTCTGATGGTGTATCAGCACGTCGAGATTTTCTGTCATATGCATTATCATTAATGAGAGCACATAACAATGAGCATTTTGATTCACTACCAGTTATTGATGTATCAGCTCTTAAACATATTGCATATGTTTTTGATGCTTTGATATATTATATGCGCTCTGGAATGGATGGTACTGATTCAGAAGTGTTAAGAGAAGGATTTTCAGTTGATCCTTGGAATGATCAAGTAAGTACTAATATAAAACTAATAATTTCAAAACTTACTATGCAATATTTAAAAATGTTGCTAGATATCTTGATTTTTTTCATTAATAATGTTATAGGATTGATGATAAAATTTATGCATTTTAATTCAATTTTCTCAAAGCATATGTTTCAATTTCAATAGACCCTTAAAACTTTGTTTTCAGTTTAATTAATTGCAAGATGATGTCATCATATTTTTGTCCAATCTATAAAAATTATAGATCATTTAGAGACAGAAAAATATGAGAGCAGTTTCAAATGAAAACAATTTTGTTAAGACACATTTATTGCACATTAGGCAATTACATTTGTATTATTTGTTGTCATAATTTCCTTCTCTTTTAATCTGTTTTTTCCAATGTATGATTAGTGGCTGGATTCTCTCCTATTATATTTTTAGGTTGCTTTGAAGCACTTCTTGCTCCATTGTTTCATGTCATTGTCACTTTAAAAATGCATTTAACTAAATACTTTTTGTAATGGCCTAGAAAAAGTGATAATTGCTGAGGAATACGGTCTGATGGGTAGGCTAGATGCTATAGCATCTCCAGTTTGTTTTGTGATTGTGGATACCATTTGGCTTGAGAAATACAGCTGCACATCGTTACAGACAGACTTGAGAGTGATTTGTAACATTTGCTGTTGAAAGATGAATCCCTGGTCTTTGGTCCTAATGAATAGAAACATATAATGTTCCTATTCCTTGCAGATGAGGATTCTACAGAAGGATATACATTTTTCAAAAACAGAAATTTCTCTAAAAGCTTTTGGATTATTATTTTTTAATGCCATTAAATTAATACAATAATGTATCAACAAATTGCTAATAACACTCATTTATATTTCTTAATGGAATTTTAATGTGAGAGGACCCTTTATTTATTAGTTGCAGATTCCCCATTCAATTTTTGGCATCAAGAAATTAGTCAACCTAGCTAAAATGGAAAATTATAAAATCTCATTCAGGTGGAAAAGGTTTACTTTTTTACAGTTACTGTTACAATGCCTAAAACATTTTAAAATTTTAAAAGAACAGATTAAACAGAAAACAAATAATAAAATTTTCACAAAAGATGTTGATGTTACTGGTACCAAATATGGCAGAAAGCATCACTGCCCAAATTTTTGTCAGCTGAAAATGTGAATTTGGCAAACAAAAAATGATTTATGAGTATCAAAGTAACTTATTATGTGTGAAAGAGCATGTTTTCTGAAAGTCAAGGACTGCCTTTACATCATATCAAAGAGAAATGAATGAATTTTTTTAGGTTTACAAATTTATAAATATTAGGGATAGTCAAATGAAAACGAGACAGATGGGAAAAAAGTAAGTAAACTGTCTATTATTTCAAAAGTAATTGCCATAACTGTTAATATATTTATCCCACTGTGAGACAAGACGGTCAATGCCGTCATAGAAAAATGTTTGTAGTTGCCACGGAACCATGATTGTACCCAGGCGTGCATCTTTTCGTCTGAAGCAAATTGATGGCCACGAATGTCTTTCTTCGGGGCTCCAAAAATATGGAAATCGCTTAGGGAGAAATCAGGACTGTATGGAGGATGTGTATGGACTACACTGCAGAAGTTTCCAGCGAAACTTCTGCAGCGTAGTCAAAACAATCTTGGTAACATATGAGTGGGCATTATCCTGCAACAGAATGATGCTGTCTGTCAACATTCCTGTATGTTTGGATTTGATGGCACACTTCAATTTTTGCATAGTTTCTATGTACCGCTGTGCGTTAATTGTGGCTCTGTGTTCCAGAAAGTCAACGAGCAGCCGACCTCCATAGTGATGGTGGATGCACACACGACTTGCCGACCTCACTTCGAGCATGTCTAATTGACAAATGGCACAGCAGTGAACATTTACGCTGTTCCTTCCTGATTCCCAATAGAGGGCATTTCTATATACACACCTATCTGCATTACCAACTTCCGTGCCACACTTGTTATATGGTCTGTCTCGTTTTCATTTGACTGCCCCTAATATATTGTAAGTAAATATACATACTCAAAAAAATTATAATGGAAATTTTTTTATCTTAGTATTTTAAATAAATATGTTTGTTACAAGCATTTAATAAAATTAAAAGAAGTTTGAATGTTTGTTTAATATTTACATGACTAACTATAAATTTCAAAAAGACATAACAAGAACAGAAATTACAAGAACAACAAATTTTTGTTCAGGAAATTTTCATTGTGTCTACTTTTATATGAAGTTATCTTTAACATAATTTGTGAACAAGTGGTGAAAAAAATTTTTAATACTAATAATGTCTTGGTGTAAGATGAATTTTGGTTTGTTAGGTAAGTTATTAATAGTTTTTTGTGTGAAATCTGATTATCACAGTTAAAAATTAAAAATAGTTAAATGGATCAAAGTGTTTTAAAAATATTTTAAAATAATAATAGTTATATAAAGAATATTATGTATAAAAAGTTAATTTAACAATAGTGTAATTTTAGTATTTAGTAAAAACAAGGGGGAAAAAATTCTCTTTATTTTCCCACATATAATTGAACCTTAGATGAAAAATTTTTATGATGAACATTGAATTTAATGTCCAAAAAATGATTTAAGCATTATGTATCCAAGTAAAATGACCAACATTGGATTGCTGTCTGTATGACATTTACTGCATTCTCCTTAAATAAAATTAAAAAAGAATTTTTTTAATAAAAAGAAGATCAGTGTTAAAATTGTATTATATTCATAATATGAAATGTGTTGTTTATGATTAATGTAAAAAGATGTTATTTATTAGAATTATTATATGTAATGCATATTGCAGTGCATCTAGTTCTATTGCATCTTTATTTATACATTGATATGTTAACTGTTACACTGTGTTAAAATTTTACATCATGTTTTTATTATTATACTAACTTGTTGATAAATATTAAAAAGAAGTTTGTTTCCAAAAATGTTTTAAGAATATTATTTGTTTTGAAAATAGTGCTTTAAATTGATAAGAATTATTTTATCTAATTATTAAGTTATCTCTGATGAATTTGACATTATTTTTGTTTAGTTTTGATAAAATTTATTTTTAAAAATAAGATATATCAGTAATATACATCTAGATTAATAAAAAAAAAACAATTTAAACAAATTTATACAATGCATTTTATTTTTATTGAATATTGGGTATAGCGAACAGAAATGAAAAAAAAATTAGTCAAACTACATAAATAGAATAATCAAATTAATTTGATGATTAGTTGTCATGTATAATCGAAATGGTAGATACATGTTAATAATAAAAATAAACACAGTTTTAATGTTGAATATTTGTTAAGATGCATAAGAGGTTTTATTGAATATGTTGAAAAATTTATTACTGATTAATTGAAATGATCACTATAGATATATAAGATTGTTATCTGTTGGTATTTTTGATCATCAAATTACAATATTTTGATTTTAGGATGAAAATGAAAATGAAGATCAAGAAGAAGAAGTTGGACCTGCACTTCCTATGGATACTGATAGTGCCGATGATGATTCTCATTTATTGTCTTCAAAAGGACGAAAACACCCATTTTTCCAACGTTCAGATTCTACTTTATTTTTAGGATGTCCTCCTCCAGATCCATTTACAACTCCTTTGGCTGAAGCATTACCTTTAGCTGATCAGCCTCATCTATTGCAACCAAATTCAAGAAGGGAAGATTTATTTGGTATTCCACATGAACCAGTAAATATGCCAGCTATAACTAATCCGTCTAATTCACATTATGGAAATTATAATCCATTTGAAGTGTTGCCAACAAGACTTGGTCTTTCTCCTCGTTCTTCTGATGGCAACGCTCAACAATCTCTGTCTTATAATCATTTTTCGTCCTCTTTATCAACCAATACATCTTATCTGCCATCTCTATCATCTATGGCACATCCTCCAACCCGTCCGCCACCGCCGCCACCACCACCACCTCCGCCGCCACCACCTCCACCTCCGCCGCCACCCCCATCTTCTGAACTAGAAATTCCTTCAACTGTTGCTGTTGAAGGAATTGCTGCTAGTCTTACTCATGCACCTACTACTACAGGAGAAGGATTTGCTTCATCAAATAATCAAATAAATAACCAAGATTTTAATATAGTGCCTACTTCATCTGTTCGTCAACCAACAGTTATCAATATTCCACGACCCGTTGATACAACAACTGTTTCTTCATCAGCTTTATGTTTAGAAACAAGAGCACCTATTATAGTGGCTGCTCCAAGCAAAAAAGTTTCAGAAATACAATCTCCTGTGAAATCCAGTGTCATTGTTCATGCTGGTTGTATCAGGCCATCTGCAGCAACTGTAAGACTTTTGAATTTTCACATTGCTTTTTATTTTTTGATGATAAATTATTATATTAACATTTTAAAAACTATTGAAGAAATTTTCTATTTTTTTAATTTAAGTGTAAAAAATATTCACTCCACGTTTTTGATCTTGATGAAAATCATCTCTGTTGAAATATTCAGATTAGTGTATATTATGAAGTCATGCATAACTACTATAATTTCTGTTTGAATTTTTATATAATGAAGTATATGATTTAATTTCAAACATATGAATGAAATCTGCCAAGAAATAATAAACTAATTTCATCTTTTACAGTAAACAGTTTAAAAGCTGCTAATGTTAAAATTAAAAAATACACAATGCACTGTTTTCAAGTACAGTACATTGTATTTGCTGTTCTGTCTGATGTATGAAACATTGAGAATTGGAGAGGCATTGAAATGAACGATTAATAATTATTATATAACTGTCATAGAGGATAGTTGTTCTCCTGTTTTGTATCACTTGTCCTAACAATTACTTTTAGTCTAATTTCCTAACATGTCTATATGAAGGAAAATTTAATAATTAAAATTAAAAAAATTTGATGATAAAGAATTTCATTATATTTTTTTATATATTATAGATAGATTAATTCATATTATAAATTTTAAACAGTTAAATATTATTTTACTTTATCAAAAAGTTCAATAAAAATATAGTGTATCCATAAAATTCCTGTGCAGTTTGAATATTCAAGTTTCATTTTAATGTAAAATATAAATAACGTGTAAAGTGAAATAGAGAAAATTTATTTAAAATTTAGCTTATTTGATTTTAAGGTGGTGTTAATTTTTCAACACAATGGAATCAGTGATAAATATTTTTAAATTCAGTTTTATATTGAATTTCTATATAGTGTTTCTTATTGTAATCAGGGCTGTGGAGTCAGAGTCGTGGAGTTTTGGTGTTTTAGCTGGAATCGGAGTCGTCAAAAAATCCGCTGACTCTGACTCCTTTTTACTTATCAACTTGTTATGTATATAAAATGGAAAAGTATTGGAATTGTGTCAAATTTGACCCTCCAAGTTTTTTTGCAGATCTACACATTTGGAGACCTCCCGAACCCTTCAAAAAAGTCAATAAAAGTTGGAAAAATTGTGCTTGTGTGTTGGGGTCTAATTTGTTTAATTTCTTTATTTTCTGTTCTGAGATATTAAACAATATCTCAGAATGGGTAAAGTTTTTTAAGAAACGAAATGTGGCACTGTAGCTTGCATATAAAGGGGCATTAATACTATTAAAAAATAAATAAAACTTGTCTATTCTCAAAGTAAGCTTTTTCGTCATTTTATAATAGTACAGTAAAACCCGTTTAGATGCTCTCGCCTAAGATGTTAGAATGTATATGGGGACATGATTTAGTTCAACCACTTTGACATTTAATAACTAACTCCTGTTTTGTTTTCTAAAACCGTGTTTTAGTATTTCTGAATACTAAAACACGGTTTTAGAAAACAAATCAACTACAAATTATTGGTTATAGAAATGGCGAATTCCATCAAGAAAAGAAAAATAATGTATACAGTTCAACAAATGGATACTACATACATCGCAAGGATACAAGTTGCCCGAAACGTGTAGAAGTACCTGTACAAACTGAATAAAGATGGAAAAAAGCCAAGTGTTTAATTAACAACACAATCTTGTGTTCAACAGTCAAAAACTAACTCCTGTGTTAACCATCTGACTTTGATTCTGACCGCTTTGACCACAGAAATTATTAGGCTTCAAACAGGGTAAACAAAATCATGCCCCCCCCCCACACAGTCTAATATCCACCCATATAGAAAAAAACCTCGAATCTTTTGCATATCTCGAAATTTCAAGGTGGTCTGAGTCCAAAAATGTAAAAATTTCGGAGGGGTCATTTTTTGACTGAGTGCTACACTTTCCCTCTGTTATATATAACAGCCATAAAAGTAAAAATTATCGAATACATATTTATATATTACTTAGAGGAGTCTTTTGTCTTTGGAATAAAAAGTTTCTATGTTCTATCTTTATTAGAATTCTGTTTATTGAATCTTTTATTCTGAGGTCACATGATGACATCAGAATTTCCGGGTCTCTTTCGGTAACATGTCTGCCCTTGGTCGGAGTCGGATGGTAAGGAAAAGTTGGAGTCAGTAGATTTTTACGCAACTCCACAGCTCTGGTTGTAATGAAATCTAAGTTGTCTTTTGATTGTTGATACAATTCTGATCAACTAATTAGAAAATGTAATCGACTTTTTGTTTGAGGCTATTACTAAAGGATTTATTATCTGAAAATAAGAAATTAGAAGAGATGAATTATTAACAATTTTAAATCTCATTTATTATATTACATAGACAATCTTTAAAAAGTATATTGACTTCAGTCACTCATTGATATGAATGCTTGAGTAGAAGACTTCTTACAAAAAGTGAAATGGTACAGTTGAGAGAAGACATAAAGTATGTTACTATTGATAGAGAAATAGGAAGCATCAAAGAATAACACAGTTGACATTCTATGAGGTTTTAAAGTTTGACCCTATACAACAAATGCATTTTAACAGTTGATTTTAAGTGCTGTCTACTTATTTTCAAAGATATAATTTATTTTACATTACGAAAATGTAGAAAGTATCACAAAAGTGATGGAATCTACAAGGTTGGACTGCTAAAGAGCATCAGATAGACCTCTAATGTGTATGGAAATGAAATTGTTAAAGATTCAAACTGCACAAGGATTTTGTAGATAGTGTGTTGTTACAGAGAAGAGATCAGCAAAAACTTTTTGTATTTATTCAAATTTAAATTAAAAATTTCAAAATTTTATTTTTGTTAAATTTATGAATCATTCCGTTAATCTAAAATCTTATAATTACAGACTCCAGAATCATTACTTCCTGTTTCTACTACTACAACAACATATGTTGCTGCACCTAGTCCTGCAGCCGAAGTAACTGTAACATCCACTAATTCATGTCCTTTTAATAACAGTTCAACAGCTGGTGTTTCTGTATGTGTACCTCTAATTCAAACCAACAATGAAACACATATGGAAACATCATCTCAACAAAATCATGAAAACACTTCTACAAATATGGTTATTGATGGTGTACAGAGTCAGAATGTTATAAATAGGTATTTATTTATTTATAATTATTTTCTTTTTTTTCCCCTTCATAATTTATATATGAGATTATAAATTTAAGTACCATGATTTATATTAAATTTCAGTTAAAGGATAATTAAGTTGTTACTGTGAAATGATTTCAGAGTTTATAAAGAAATTAGAATGGATGCATGTGTGTATTTTAATTTTTACGTAGAGAAGGTTAATAATTAAAATGTTTTTTTCAATTTAAACCAGTAACTGCACTCTTGCTGCTTAATCTACTTTTTATGTAGATTATCATATTTCTTTGATTATATTATTTTGATATATAGTATAAAATAAAGGAAGAAAAAGTAATAAATACTGCTTAGGCAGAAAAAAGTTTACTAAAATAGAGACTTCAATAATAATGAAAGTTTTAATTTTAAAAAAATTTATTTATCTGAGATTTTATTCTTCTTGCATATTATTTTTTGTTATTGCATAATATTACTTTAGATGAGTGCTTTATTAAGGTACAGTACATTTATAATCACAATCAGCTTTGTAATTCAGATCAACATGTGCAAAATCAATTTGGTCTGATTGGCAAATAATTATCAAGTACACAGTCAGATTCCTCTATCATGCTGTTTAAGACTAATTGATTATTGTGTAATTTTGTAGATACTTTACAGAATAATAGCTATACAAGTTAGTTTTAAAAATGTTTGTTTTATTTATGTTTCATTTTTTTTAATGTTAATCTAATGAATAACAGATATTTGTTTTATTATATAGTGACTGAAGTTTGATAACAAATCAAAACATATTATGCAACTGTAATTTTATTTCAATTATCAAAATATATGATATTTTGATAATTGAAATAAAATTAAAATGAAAATATTCAATAAATTTAATAAAATGAGAAAATTCTATTAATTGATTATATTAAAAATCATTTTTTAGTAAATTATACTAACAAGAGGAGGTCATGCTATGGTCATCAGATTTCAATAATAATGTTTGTAAGGATAAGCTTTAGTATAAATCTTTATTGAGCAAAGGGTCATTGTGCTTCTCAAATGTTTTTAAGAAAGTCAAAGTTAAAAGATTCCAAGCTACTTACGAGTAAGTTTTGCAGAACCTATTGAACACCACATGGGTTCAGTAAGAGTCTGTCTTACTCATTTGTAAGATCGCTGGTTTGCAACTCGATGGCTGGTTTTTATTATCAAATCAATGCAATGTTTTCATAAAATAATTGTAAAAATGACGTAATTTATGCAGTTTCTATTTATTTTCTATTAAAAATGTGCATTTTCATTCTTTGTAAAATTGTTTTCAGAATTGTTGTCTGTTAAAAATAATAATAAAGTATTTTACATTTAGAACGTAAGACTATCCAGAACAATTTGGCATTTTAAGCAGTTAAATAAATATAAAAAATTATTAGTTATTACTAACTCCCAATAACATATTGAATTATAAATATGTGATGGTAAACAATCATCTTTCAATGTCACTTTTCTGCTGTTTTATTGTTTACATCATATGTATATTCCATTAGGTAATACAACAAGCAGACTGTAAACATAAATTAAAATTATAACTTAAGAATAATTAAATAATAATTGTGTGAAAAATTAAACATTATTTATATTCTATTTAAATATTTAGCAGTGTGTATAATTTAGTTATTTCTGTCTAGGTCACAGAATATGATAGGACAACTTGTATCACATGATGTTTTATTAGGAAGATGGAGGCTATCATTGGAACTTTTTGGTCGTGTATTTGTTGATGATGTTGGTGCTGAACCTGGTTCTGTGATTAGTGAATTAGGAGGATTTCCTGTAAAAGAAGCTAGATTTAGACGTGAAATGGAAAAATTACGTAGTTCTCAACAGAAAGATCTTAATTTGTCTAAAGTAAGTATTATATTCTGTAGTCATTTTTTTTTTATATAAACCAACTAAAAATTACTAAAAGAATGATGAGGAAGCAAAGGCATTATAATGTATTACATTGAAAATAAACCATAAGAAAGTAATATCAACAAATGCTTTATTTTTTATGCAGTGTACAATCAAAAATGAATTAACACAACAATTAAGTCTGCTCTAAATTATTTCATGGCATTTGCATTCTCTTTTTATTTTATTTTTTCAGAACGTCTCTTGTATATAATTTTTGTTCCAAAAATATCTTTCATATGTTCCTCTTGGACAAAAACTTGATTCTGGTTTATTTTTAGCCAGGAAAAAAACTTTTTTTTTGTAAGAAATTATTTCCTTATAGCAAGTGTTTGCTGTTCTGAGGCCTGCAAGTGAATCCAGAATGAACTCCCAAGAATATTCTATAGGTAGTTGATTCTAATATGCTTGCCATACATTCCAAAATATCAAATTGCAGACCAGCAGAATCTGTACTGGGTGGGGAAATAGTCCTCATCTAGCAAAAGGAAAATAATAATTTAAATAAATGTAATGTATATATATTTTAAATAGTTTTTTATGAAATAAAATATCTAAATGTAAATATAACTGAACTGATAGTTTGTAAGCATTAAAAATACAGTGGAACCTGGTTAACTCAAATTGATTGGGGGAAATAAAATTCAGACTATTCAAGTTAAAAAGTTTCAAGTTATGGAGGTTCAGTTAAAAATCAAGATTTCTGTGCATCAGTTTATTGATGATCCATAATAAACTATCAATACAATATTTCTGTGGGTCTTGTTACACAGAATCATTGCTTCAATGTTGATATTGTGGTTGTCCAGAAAATCACATGCTTAACCAAATGGTTATATAAGCTACTAAGAAATGCTGTCTTGAATGGTTGATCCATTCACTCCTAAGTGTTTAATGATTTTTTTAAAATTGCAATATTTTACACCTAAAATTGATTTGTGTCTTGTCTTTTTTTTTTTTATCAAAAAAACATCATTCTTTGATTGTTATATTAAAATTTTGCTGCAGAGGTTAAAATTTTTACATAGTCTGACTATAGTCATTCTTTAAAGTTAATGTATCAAAAATCTATTTATTTATTATATTAGATAGTCAGAGAAATCCATCAGAAATCAAATAAAACCAAAGAAAAATGTTTTAAAAAAAAGGGCAGGTTCAAATGTCAGTTACAGTATTTACATGGTGTCTGGAAGCCATTGCCCTGCCTATTTTTACGTGACAGTCTATTTTTAGTAATATATGATTCCCATGCTTTATAGAAAGTTTTTGATTAGTTTATTTGGTAGATGAATGTTAATTATTTTATTTAACAGAAAATTAAAACTAGGAAAGTTTATGAAAATACTGTATCATAAACCTCATTTGAGTTAATCATTCTGATTTAATATGTAAATCCCTATGCTAGATAATTAGGGAAAGAAAATAACTAAGTAAATGCAACTTCAGGTTATCCCAGTTTGAGTCAACCAGGTTCCATAGTGTATAACCATTCATGCTTAAAACAGTTACATATTCTAAATAGAAGAGTATAATTTTGATATTAATGCATATCTATAATCTTTGAAATAGTTATATTTTAGGTTCAAACTATATACTTAAAAGTAATTTTAAATTTCTGAATATCACTGGACTTTGATTTCTTAATTAGGTGATTCAATACAAGTCAACAGCTTAAATTTTTTAGGAAAGTTCATTTGTTAATTGCTTTCTTTTAGTAGTAAATTTTTTATATTAAAACAATACATAGGAATTAATTCCACTAACATCAGAAAATGGAAAATATAGCAATTGGCCACTTAAACTTATTCATTTCTTTAAATATAATAATTGCAACATAATTATTCATGTTAAACCTAATTACAAAAGATGGCAACTTCATGCTTTATCTTTTATCCTTTTGTCTCATCAATTGCCCTGACATGATGCTTGTTGATAATATGTTAACAAAACTTGCTAGTACAGGATGTCCCAAAAGTAGTAAACCTATATGATTTGTTGATTACTAAACACTTTCTTGCATTACAATAGAAATTGTAATATTTATTGGAAGCATACAGATTGGAGATTATTTGTGAAAAATAACATTGTGCATACTACCACCTTTTCACATCTTAACAGTGACAAATTTAAGACCATCATTTTCATAACCTTTTCCAGAGTTTCTTGTGAGAGCTTGTAAATTGCACTGATAATGTTGTCTTTGAGAGTAGCAATTGCTCTTATTTTATTCATAAGCACCCTTTTCTTGAAGAAGACCAGAAGAAAAATAATCAGGAGCAGAGACCTGGAGATCTTGGAGGCCTTATGATGTTTCCATTCTGTGATGTCACATGAATCAGAAACATCTGTTGAGGCAATGCCATTGTCTGGAAGACAGACACTGGCATTGGGTATATTCAAAATCTCAGCATCAGTGCCAGAAATGATGCAATTGCTGGTGTCTTCTAGAGAACACAAACGCTGACAGCTGGGAATTTTGGGAGAGCAAAACGAAAAATGGCAAATGATGTGGACTTCATTTTATTTTTGAACTTATTTAAGAACAGCTTAATGAAAGTGTATATTTTGAAAAGAGAAATAGGGATGAAGATATTTTAAATTTCCATATGAGTTTTAAATAAATAAATCAATCCTAAGATTACACTTTAACAACTAAAATAAATTATGTGATGTCTTGCATTAATACTAGTATATTAAAATATTCTATTAATGTATTAACCGAATTTTAATTTATTCAGGGTTTATTCATCAACAAATAAATATTCAAAATTGTCAATGTAATAATATTTATGTTTATATTTATCTATATTATATTTATGTTAATATTTATTGACATTCCTGTTTAATAACATCAGCATAAGTGGGTTTTGCTATTGGGTCTGAACTTCTCAGTGCCAGCACCGTGCCAAAAAGGTCGTGTGCAGCATGTGCATGTCTAATGCTGCTTGTCTAATATTCTTTCGGTTCTGCTTTACAGATCCATGTGCTTTTACAGGAAGGATAGTGTTCAGCCCTTTGGAGATAGTCTCTAACAAGGTTTTCTCTAGGGATCCATTATTACCTGCAGAGTTATAATTATAACTGATAATCGTAGACAAGCTGTTCAGCTGATGGCGAAGCACCGGTTGACTACACCCGTGCCGTGCGGCTAGATATCGCAACTGGTTGGCTAAGGCGTCACGTGTGACTAAACAATAGAACCTGTTCTTCCATGTCGAAGAAATCCGTATTACATTTTCTAGCTCTGTGGATAGAGCATGAGATGACAAACCTAGCAATATGCCACCCTCAAGGAAAGAACCTACAATAGTGTGGTGTTCAACCAAATGGTGCATGGCTAGAACAATGACCTTTGTTGAAGTATGCAAAAACAGATCATTATAACTCCTTCATAAATTGTCTGATAATTATAAAAATAGATAGATGCACTTAAAAAGTTCCCTAAAGTTCCCTACTAAGTGACAGTTGCCGTTGGGAATCACTTTTTAAACGATCGAAGCCCGCAATTGGCTTGAAAATCTTCTGAGTTGATTTCGCTAATAATCTTTAACAAAAATTGCTGGGTGTACAAACAGTACATATCAATTGAATGATCTCATTGAGACAAATTCAATGATGTATAGATATCCAGTGATAATCTAATTAATCCACCAATGTAACTATCGAAAACTATGGGACATCCCGTGTACGATAAAGTCATCATCCTATCATCGATAAATCCGAAAAGGCTATTGTTTATACTGTGATTTAAGGCAGAAATTCAACAAGAATTTCAGCTTTATTTTGTTACAAGATTTTAACAGGTTTTAAATTACATTCCAGCTGTGGTGAAGCTAACAGTATACTTTTATACCAATTATCTGTTGTGAATTTCTACAAACTATTTTTTATTGGCTCAATTAAGTAAATAAAATACAATTTTGTAAGGAATTTCTGGCTGTGTACTAGCATATATTTTGAATTTACCAAATAAAAGGTTCTAACATTGCAAACATCTTTATCCATACTGTTTTTGTATGTTCGATAGATACAACTTAGATGAACAAGAACTTCTGAAAGATATAAGTTGCTTATCTATTGTTAGTTATATTACTGGACAATATACTACTACAAATTCTGTCCTAAAATGGCAATGAACTTAAGAACAGCTACCAATTGTCATATCTTTTGCATACATTTCTGTTTGATGAATCATAATACCTTAAACATTGTTATAAGAAAAGAAATCTCATTAGAATTATGTGATCAAGCAAAATATGACTGTTCCATCTTTATCCACAAATCATTAAAAATTACATGGGAAATTCTGTAAATGCATCTAAAAACAAACTCAATCAAAGCAGGTGTTTTTTTATTCTCACATCATTTTTGTTCATTTTTGTTTAATTCTTTCAATATATAGTTTAATAAAATTTACAAGCAGTTAGTTTTAATAACATCAGAGAAAAGAATGAAAATGTGTGTAATTAATTTTCATTCTTTATGCTCTTCAGACAAACTTCTGATGAAGAACTTTTTCTTCTGAGAACTTAAATAAAAATTTGGTATTTACTTCACTTGCTCTTTTTAGTCTTACATAGGAAATAGTCTTGAGCATTTATTTAATACTTATCAGTTTCATTTTTATTATCAGGAAGAAGAGAATCACTAAGTTTTCATGGTGGTTTTTTTTTCATAGTCTACATCATTCTCTTCTTTGTCAAGTGTTTATATCTCATTCTTTGAGCAAATCCTCATTTGTTTGAATATTTAAACTATGAAAAACTAACAAAAAAAACATAAAATTTAATAAAGTTTAAAATCACCAGCTGTTGCGATTTATCCTGTAATTTTTTCCACTGCTATTTAAAGATTTTTTTTGTTACAAATGGTCGTGTACTGGTTAAATTTTATTTTAAATTATTATTACAATAAATAGAAATTATTCTTTTTCATATTAGAATAGACCACTACAGTCACTAGATGACACTTGTTATAACTAATACAGGCAGTCTTGGGTTAATACAGTATCCTCTCATTCTATTGTAGCTCATTATATTGTTCATTGAAATATATCATTTTTTTGTGGTCTTCTTAGTATAAAAGCACTTTACCCAATAATTTTTAGAAAATTGATTTCCATTTGAATATTACGTTATTCTGATCATTAATCTTGAAAGTACCACTGTATGAAATATGACCTGCAAAAATGCAAGTCAGCATGGAGATTGAAAATAAACAAAACAGGTCGACGGCTACATCAGTTATATATTGATAATTGATATAATTGTTAAGTATAATTCAACACTTTTTTTACTCATGCTGTGTCTTGAATGGGTGACATTAAGGGCATTCTTTATTTAGACTTTTCTGGTTTTAAAAAGGCATGTAAAGTTTTAATGTCCTTTTGTTGTATATCATGGTTTTTTTGGGGCCTGTTTTTATCATGTTTTTAATGTGCATTGTTGTGTAAGTTATACAGTAGAGCATAGTTTATCCAAATCAATTGGGGACTGGGGTTGTTTGGATAACCGATTATGTACAAAAAAATATATTAACCTATCCCATGTTGAATTTTTCTCCATTGCATGTTGTTTCATGTTGAATTTTCGTTGATGTTAAGCCTAATGAAAATTTTTATAATAATAATAGTGGTTATTGTATCATTAAAAATTATTTCTTTATTTTTTACAAACAAAATAAATATATTGAAAAATATAAAAACAAAAAAATTATACTTTAGAAGTTGATCTAGTATCAAAAACGTTCAATTCAGCACGACACACAGTCCACAGAAAAACACCACACAAAAGTGTCAGTGCTGCCAGCTAAAACACACACACCAACAAAAAAATATTGGAGTAGCCCAAGACATAGCCAAAGGTTGCAGCGCCAAAGCACTAGCGAAAATTTAAATTTGCCAACTGGAACACTTTTGGTTGACCGGCTTTTGGATAAACGATGCTCTACTGTATATGTAATTTTTTCTTGCTTTTGATGTTTAATATATTTTTATGTATTTTAATTGGCTGCTTTTATTATGGGCTTTTATTTTGCTTTTTTCAGTCACCATTTATTTATGAATTACATGTTCTTTGTTGTTGTTTATTTAAGGGTTTACTGAGGGCAGTTCTTTCTCTCCAACAGAACAGAAAGAACTGCCCTCACCCTCAATCTTTAATAAGTATCTGCAATTATCTGTAATAATTAAATAAAGAATATCACTCGTTTGGTTTGTCTCTTGACATATATGATATAACAAGGTGTTACTGCACTTAGAAAAAAGTTTAACATCACTTTCATCCTTGTGACTGATAACTAATGATCATATTTAAACTAACCTGTTCAAGTTGTAAGAAGCAATTTCCCAGTGTTGTATCAAAAATAAATTAATGTTAAAATGCATATAATTAAGGTTTAATAAAAATATTTGAATTTTGATCATTTTTCTTTGCTATTCATGTGTTTTGATAAATCATTAAAATAAATCTAACTGCTCTGTGGGAAAATTTTATTCAACAGTATGAAATATTGGATGTTGTTAAGTGAATATTGTTTGTATGATGAAAAGGTATGGTAAATTGTGACAAAATTATAAAAATGAAAATAATTCATTAGTAATACTTACATAAAATAACTAATAAAGATAGAGCGGTTGTGGCCAAAGTTTTCATCTCTAAAATGTGAACTTCAAATCTCTAGCACCACCAACTTGGATACCTAGAAGTTTGACAATGGTGTTTGAAACATTGAGCATGGCAATTAGAATTTCAGCTTAAACTTCTGTATTTTGGGTTAAAATTATGACACATTTTATTAAAATAATGATTGTTTAATTATTCAATATTTTGCAAGTGATGTTAAGTGTCAAAAGAATTTCTATGGATATGTTCATAATAGCCTATCATAATACTTCAGAAATAGGTTTGTTCTTTCACTCCGTCTTCTGCTATCAACAGCATAATGCATTTGTAAATCTCTAGAAATAATTTCCCAAGCTGTTTTTGGATTGTCATCTTCATATGGATGACAATCCAAAGCCACCACTTCAACAAAAGTATGTCATGAGAACAGGCAAGAGCACATTGGGATTTTCCTATTATATTGTACAGTAAGAGTCAAAATGCTAATTAAAGTAAAAAATAATTATTTTGTGTTATTAAATGTCCTATAAATATTTAAAAATAGTTTAATTTGTTTATTTACCTTTGCTGGTCACCTTCGTCATTCTTCAGTGATCCATCATTTTACAACAAATCTCATGAGGCATTATGTGCCATAAAGGTATAATGCAATGTGCTTTTATTTTACTTGGCTCAAACATTAGATGTGTACTTCTGCTTGCTGTACAAATTTGAAGTTTTGACTTGCGCTGCAACCTCTCTAATTTTGCCAAAACTCAAATGTGAACTTTTTGTATAATACAATATAAATTATCAATAAAATTAATTTAATTAAATTTATGTGAAAATTATAAAAAAAATTAAATATATATATATATTTAGTTTTTTTTATATGGCAATAGTAACTTTACAACAATCACTGAAACTTTAAGTTTAAAATCCTTACTATTATTTAGTGTGTGTTGCTGAATCATAACTTGTATTCTTTAGTGAAAAATAATGTTTTATAAAGCACAAATAAAATTTCAAATAATTGAAATCATCTGATATATTTCATTAAAATTTGATATATAAGGCTCTAATTAATTACATATGAAGTCATAAAGTAATAAGTGATCAAAAAACAATGTTTTAGTGTTCTGAATTGTCTTTTTTTTTTTTAAAATAGAAGTTAAATTGTCACTGCTGTCAGAGATGTGTGTGCATGTTTATTTTGGTAGCATTTTCAAATGTAATCACAATTAACACAATACCAATCTTTGTGTGTTTAAAGAATTAAATAATTCTAATTGTTTTTTTTATTAAAAATTTTCAGATTGAGAGAGAAGGAACATCATTGTTGCCACAAACATTTAAAGAATTAAATACACAATTTAATAATTACAGTCGGAGAGGCTCGCAAAATTCTCCTCCTTTAGCTGTCTCACGGGTGAAGGTAATGTTTAAAGATGAACCTGGAGAGGGTAGTGGAGTAGCTCGAAGTTTCTATACAGCTGTGGCTGAGGTAAAGAATTATGATCATTTAAATATAAAAATTATCATATAATATATTATAATTCTTCTCATTTTATGTAATTTCAATATTTTTTAATAGGCTGTGCTCTCATCAGAAAGGTTGCCAAATTTGGAAAGTTGTCAAGTAGGAAGTAGAAGTGTTCAATATAGTAAATATTACTTTGTCTTATCTTTATTTTATTAATGTTTTAAATATAACTTATCCTTAAATATTTTGGCTTTTATAAATTAATATACATGTGTCCAAAACTTAAGGACAGACAACATTGTATATGAATAGAGAGAACTGTAGATGAATGCAGACAAGTATGGCAAGAACTGTATTACTTGACATGTAGCACTGAAATACACAATAACTTGTAGGATTTTACAAATCAAAGCAATAAAAGTAAGTCTTTTGTGGAAAAAAAAATACATACGGCAGTTGGATGTAGAAGGCATATGAATGGAAAGTGCTTATCAATATCCAGGCAGAGAGGTCTTTCGATATAAAATGTCCACCCCGATCAACACTAATGCAGCACTCACAATTGCTAGCAGAAAAAGTCACTTGTCACCAAGTGACTTTCTAGCAATTGTATTTGTCCTTAAGTTTTGGACCTATGTGTACTTATGATGTAATATTCTTTATTCCAGTATGTCAGTTCCAATATATAAGTAGTGGAATTAATATATTATTGATTATAATTTTTCAAAAACTGACAAATTATGATATAATGAATTGTTTGCAGACTTGACAAAAGCTCCAATATTTAAACTTTATATTTAAACTCATACTTGAACTAATAGTTTATATTAAAGAAATGCTTTATATATTAATAAAATTATCTTGTTTATAGATTTAATACAAAGACTAAGGACAAGGGAAAGAGAACGTGAGCAGCAAAGAAGAGCCAGTCAACCACCTCCAAGACCAAGAGAAACACGAGAGAGAGAGTCTCAGATAACTTTACGTTATGATGCACCTCATTTTAATATGCCAGGAGAAGCAGGAAGCAGTGGTCAAGGAGGAAATGACCATTTAAGTACACATCGACAGCAGTTAGGCCAACGTCTCTATCCCAGAGTTCAAGTACTTAGACCTGTAAGTAATGTTTTAATATATTTATTATGTTTTTATTTTCAATAAATTTTTATTAATGTTGTTACTGTTTTTCTGAATCTAATTCTAGTTTGCAATAATTATTGAATTTTTATCTTCAGTTAGAAGGAAATATATTGTGATTTGTTTTGTTTTTACATGTATAATTTTATTTGATAATTTTGTTAATTAGAAGAAATCTTGCTTGTCACGAGCATTCCTTGTAAACTTAAAATGAATGAATATACATGTATTCCTTGTATAACACAGTAGTTATGTTCCAAAAAAGTGCCATGTTATAGGAATTCATGCTATACAAAACAAAAGACTAGTTCAAAACAGGTTCCAAAGGCTAACAAAATTATACTATTCTTTTTCAATACTAAGAGAAATATGTTTATTAAAGCAATGGATAATTTATTTCCAATCAATAATTAACTAAGAATCACAATTAAAGTACCCTGTTACATGTTAATATTAATTTTAGTTAAATGAGGGAATTTTTCTTTTACAAAGTATTGTCATCTCAACATTTTTGTTGATCTTGATCAGAAGTATCAGCAACATGTTGTTAATTGAAAATTTGTCGTAGAGGATCATGTTTGTTCAGTTGAGTACCAAGCAATTTCTCCCTATAATTTGTGTTCGAATACCAAATTATTTGAGTGCCAAGATACAGCTGTATTTTGTTCATCATTTTTATGAATGAATTATTTTAGTTATGAATGATAAGTACAGTTAAAAAAAGGTTAATAACATTTACCTAAAAATGTTTAAATATAATAATGTTTTATTATAAAATAATCCACAAATTTTTTCGTATAATTTTGATGGTAATTCTTTGCTTATGTAAATCGAGTTAAAACTTTATTAAATACAAAGATTAATCTATAAAAAAAAAACTGTAACAGTCTTAAGGGCTAAAGTCTGAAAGCAATGACAGTGACACTTTGTTGATAGGAAAGCTATGGCAAAGAAGAAGAAAATTGCACTATCAGTTTTCATTAAACTTGATGAACGGCACAAAACAAATTGAAAATTTCAATGGTATAAAATCTGTAGGTAAATTTGAGACAACAGGTGTGCTTACTTGAAATTTAAAAAATGTCGAATAACGGTATGTGCACTTAAAAGTTGCGAAATTTTGTACAGAGGATTTGCCAAATTCTCAAACCTGTTAGAGAGATCTCACATGGTAGAAATGCCATGTTGTATGAGGGATACTTGTATTTCATTCATTTTCAATTTTAAAAAGAACTGTATTGAAAAAGTTCTTACATAAAAAAACCAATTTAAGTTTGTAATCTGTATCTCATTGTTATATTTCCAAACTGTTTGTGATAGTAATTTAAATTTGATACAACATGTGACAAAAGTTATGACATCACTAAACGAGAATGGTTCCTGCATTAATGTAAGCATTTAGCAAAGAAATAAAACAAGCAATTGATATAAAATATTTTTATAATAAAAGTCAAACACTTTGGTTACATTAAATAACTTAAACAATCAAAGTAACATCATATAGTAATTTATTTATGTATGCTTCTGACACAATATAGTGCTATAAATTAAGACACTTGGCGGATTTTCTCATCTTTATTTAGTTGATACGTGTGGAAAAAATTACACGTTTCGAGCTCTTAAGCCCCTCTTCAGTCAACTAAAACATTTAAAAAGGATATAACATACACATAAAAAGGAATAACAAGTTTTGTAAAATTCTTAAAAATAAAACATACCTATCCATACAGGTTTTATAAATTAAAGTAGCAGTTTTCTTTCGATATTTTTTCAGCAACATCAGCTTATTCACAGTATTTTTTCTTTTAGCCTACTATAATATTAGGAGAGTATACAACGTATCTATATAAAACTATACATAAGTTTTATAGTATCTATAAAACTATATTCAATTAAGGCATACCTTGAGTACGGCTGTTATTAAGGTTGTACTGTACAAAATTGATTATACCTTTTACTTATAAAACAGTCTTACAAAATTCTTGGTCTAAAATATACCTTAGACAACAATTATCAAATTGGTATACAATTGATTATGCTTTTTACTCATAAATCTGTTTTACTAAATCCTTATTTCCTTTGATAAGCATTGACAATATAATACGAATTTACATAACTTCTACAATATAAATTTACATATCTGACATCTACTATATTTTTACAATATATGATTGTTGATTTATTTAACATTACAGTATTTAATATTATAGATTATTATATGAACTAATGACATTACAATGTCTTGAGGTTGGTAAACAGGATTAACATTTAATATAAATTTACATATTATTTGATTCCCGTTACAACATTACAGTTTTTTGTTATTGTTGATTTATGTAACAGTTCAATCGTTATTATTAATTAGCACATTGATCACAATAATAATAGTTTGAATCTAGTGAATACAATTAATATAAAATTTTTAACCAGTTTTCGTTTATTGAGATGCTAGGATTTTTATTTATACTATTTTGATTTTTGATTATTTCTATACTTTCCTTGAATTTTCTTTTGTATGTATCTCTTTCTCTGTGTAAGATATCTATATTATTTTTATCTATATTACAATTATTCAAAAGGCAGTGTTCATGAAAAGCAGAATTTAGTCTACGATATTTCAAATCGGCTATATGTTCTTTCAATCTTACTTTAACTTTACGTTTAGTTTCACCTATATAAAATTTTTTATTTTCGCATGTACACGGAATTTTATAGACTACATTTTTACTTTCTTCTTTATTTGTTATATTTGTTTTGTTAACTTGTTTTGCATTTAATCTGGAGAGTAGCTTATCATATGTCGGTACAAGTTTTACATTAATTTTTTTGACTTCCTTATTGACTTCTTCGTATAAACCTTTTATGTATGGAAAACGAATGTATTTTATTTCTGCTTGTTTAGGATCTATTCTTATTGTTTTATCTGTTTTTTTATCTATTTCTGTCTCCCAAATATTAAGAATTCTGTTTGGGTATCCTGAAAGAATAAATTTTTTCTTTAGTGTATTTAAATGTTCGATTTGTTTAGTATTTATACTAGTTCTATTTTTGATTTTAGTGTATTCCATATTAAATATGTTTTGTTTTATATGAAGTGGTATGTTAGAATTATAGTTAACTGTGGTATTTATTGAGCACTGCTTTTTAAACGGTTCAAATTCGAGATTTGTATTATTTCTTTTAATTGTAATATCTAAATAATTTATGCTGTTGGTAATTTTATCTTCTTCTTCTATTTTAAATTGAATATTTTTATGGATATTATTTATTATATTTCTGATTT